AAGCCACTGCAAGGAAATCCGGCCTCCTTTCAAGTTAGGGCTTCTCGCTGTATATTCTCTTGAGGCAGCGCACTCGGGGTCCCTCCCAAATATCTATTGCTGAGAGAAGCCTCCTCCTGAGGTGCTTCTGGAAAGGTGGCATACGTCTTGAGCCTAAACCAGGGAATCAGCTCTCATCTCGAGACGATTTGGGGTACACGGAGCATTCCTCGAGTTGCTGTGCTGAAGTTGGTGTTCCTCTAGACTTGGGACAGTGTTCTCGGGGCATCTCTGGAGTTGCCTGAAGGAAGTCGAGCAACCGGTCGTGTTGAATGGGGAACGGGGAATGGCTCTGGTGTCAATGCAGGGGAATCGGGCCTAATTCGATTTGATTTGGGGCACATGGAGCTGCTCTGCGTTGCTGGGGTGACCTCAGGGTCCGTCTAGACTTGTGACAGTTTTCTTTGGGACTGTCTCGGGATCCATTAAGCAATTCAAAGCTCCTGACTTGTTTGAATGGGATCACGGAATAGCTCTGCATGCACTGCAGGGGAATGGGGCCTCATCTCGCCTCTAGGGGGAAGTCTCATTGTTTTTCTCGAGTTGCGGCGGGGACCTGGGGTATGTTCTCGACTTACGACGGGGATGGCCCTTCAAAACACGAGTTCCTTCAGTGACGTCAGGACTCCTGTCTAGTAACAAGGGACACCTCAGGAATCTCTTCGAGGCTTGGCAGGGCAAAAGGGACGCTTCTCGAGGTGAGGCAGGGCACCCAAGGACCCTTTCCAGTAGCCACAGGGATTTGGGGATTCCTATCAGTATTCAAGAGGAGTCAGGCATCGTCACCTTTTGAAGCAATGAACTCCGCGTGCCTCTCGAGGTGTCAACGGGATGTGAGGCATTCCGTCAAAATGAGGCAGGGACCTAGGGCTTCCTCTAAGGTCTCCACAGGGGATTCAGACATCCCTTCATGTTTTGAGATCAAAGACAAGCCTGTATTCAAGCCACTGCAAGGATATCCGGACTACTTTCAAGTTAGGGCTTCTCGCTGTATATTCCCCTTGTGACAGCAAACTCGGGGTCCCTCCCACATGCCTATTGCTGAGAGAAGCCTCCTCTTGAGGTGTTTCTGGAAATTTGGCATACGTCTTGAGCCTAAGCCGGGAATCACCTCTCATCTCGAGATGATTTCGTGTACACAGAACATTCCTCGAGTTTCTGTGCTTAAGTTGGTGTTCCTCTTGACTAGGGACAGTGTTCTCTGGGCATCTCTGGAGTTGCCTAAAGGAAATCGAGCCACCGGTCGTGTTGAATGGGGAACGGGGAATGGCTCTGGAGTCAATGCAGGGGAATCGGGCCTCATCTCGAGTTGATTTGGGGGACATGGAGCTGCTTTGCGTTGCTGGGGTGACCTCAGGGTCCGTCTATACTGGTGACAGTGTTCTTGGGGAATGTTTCGAGATCCATTATGCAATTCGAAGCTCCTGACTTGTTTGAATGGGATCACGGAATAACTCTGCAGGCACTGCAGAGGAATGGGGCCTCATCTCGCCTCTAGGGGGAAGTCTCATGGTTTTTCTCGAGTTGAGGCGGGGACCTGGGGTATGTTCTCGACTTACGGCGGGGATGGCCCATCAAAACACGAGTTTCTTCAGTGACATCAGGACTCCTGTCTAGTAACGAGGGACAACTCAGGAATCTCTTCGAGGCTTGGCAGGGCAAAAGGGACGCTTCTCGAAGTGAGGCAGTTCACCCAAGGACCCTTTCCAGTAGCCATAGGGATTTTGGGATTCCTATCAGTATTCAAGAGGAGTCAGGCATCGTCACGTTTTGAAGCAATGAACTCCGTGTGCCTGTCGAGGAGTCAACGGGATGTGAGGCATTCCGTCAAAATGAGGCAGGGACGTAGGGCTTTCTTTAAGGTCTCCACAGGGGATTCAGACATCCCTTCATGTTGTGAGATGAAAGACATGCCTGTATTCAAGCCACTGCAAGGATATCCTGCCTCCTTTCAAGTTAGGGCTTCTCGCTGTATATTCCCCTTGAGGTAGCAAACTCGGGGTCCCTCCCACATACCTATTGCTGAGAGAAGCCTCCTCTTGAGGTGCTTCTGGAAAGGTGGCATACGTCTTGAGCCTAAGCCAGGGAATCAGCTCTCATCTCGAGACGATTTGGGGTACATGGAGCATTCCTCGAGTTGCTGTGCTGAAGTTGGTGTTCCTCTTGACTTGGGACAGTGTTCTCGGCACATCTCTGGAGTTGCCTGAAGGACGTCGAGCCACCGGTCTTGTTGAATTGGGAACGGGGAATGGCTCTGGATTCAATGCAGGGGAATCGGTCCTCATCTCGAGTTGATTTGGGGCACATGGAGCTGCTTTGCGTTGCTGGGGTGACCTCAGCGTCCGTCTAGACTGCTGACAGTGTTCATGGGGAATGTTTCGAGATCCATTATGGAAATCGAAGCTCTAGACTTGTTTGAATGGGATCATGGAATAGCTCTGCATGCACTGCAGGGGAATGGGGCCTCATCTCGCCTCTAGGTGTAAGTCTCATGATTTTTCTCGAGTTGCGGCGGGGACCTGGGGTATGTTCTCGACTTACGGCAGGGATGGCCCTTCAAAACACGTGTTTATTCAGTGGCGTCAGCACTCCTGTCTAGTAACGAGGGACACCTCAGAAATCTCTTCGAGTCTTGGCAGGGCAAAAGGGACGCTTCTCGAGGTGAGGCAGGGCACCCAAGGACACTTTCCAGTAGCCACAGGGATTTTGGGATTCCTATCAGTATTCAAGAGGAGTCAGGCATCGTCACCTTTTGAAGCAATGAACTCCGCGTGCCTCTCGGGGTGTCAACGGGATGTGAGGCATTCCGTCAAAATGAGGCAGGGACCTAGGGCTTTCTCTGAGGTCTCCACAGGGGATTCAGACATCCCTTCATGTTTTGAGATCAAAGACGAGCCTGTATTCAAGCCAATGCAAGGAAATCCGGCCTCCTTTCAAGTTAGGGCTTCTCGCTGTATATTCCCCTTGTGACAGCAAACTCGGGGTCCCTCTCACATGCCTATTGCTGATGGAATCCCCCTCTTGAGGTGCTTCTGGAAAGTTGGCCTACGTCTTGAGCCTAAGCAGGGAATCACCTCTCATCTCGAGACGATTTCGTGTACACAGAGCATTCCTCGAGTTTCTGTGCTTAAGTTGGTGTTCCTCTTGCCTAGGGACAGTGTTCTCTGGGCATCTCTGGAGTTGCCTAAAGGAAGTCGAGCCACCGGTCATTTTGAATGGGGAACGCGGAATGGCTCTGGAGTCAATGCAGGGGAATCGGGCCTCATCTCGAGTTGTTTTGGGGCACATGGAGCTGCTTTGCGTTGCTGGGGTGACCTCAGGGTCCGTCTAGACGGCTGACAGTGTTCTTGGGGAATATTTCGAGATCCATTATGCAAATCGAAGCTCCAGACTTGTTTGAATGGGATCAAGGAATAGCTCTGCATGCACTTCAGGGGAATGGGGCCTCATCTCGCCTCTAGGTGTAAGTCTCTTGATTTTTCTCGAGTTGCGGCGGGGACGTGGGTTATGATCTCGACTTACGCAGGGATGGCCCTTCAAAACACGTGTTTATTCAGTGGCGTCAGGACTCCTGTCTAGTAACGAGGGACACCTCAGTAATCTCTTCGAGTCTTGGCAGGTTAAAAGGGACGCTTCTCGAGGTGAGGCAGGGCACCCAAGGACACTTTCCTAGTAGCCACAGGGATTTTGGGATTCCTATCAGTATTCAAGAGGAGTCAGGCATCGTCACCTTTTGAAGCAATGAACTCCGCGTGCCTCTCGAGGTGTCAACGGGATGTGAGGCATTCCGTCAAAATGAGGCTGGGACCTAGGGCTTTCTCTGAGGTCTCCACAGGGGATTCAGACATCCCTTCATGTTTTGAGATCAAAGACGAGCCTGTATTCAAGCCACTGCAAGGAAATCTGGCCTTCTTTCAAGTTAGGGCTTCTCGCTGTATATTCCACTTGAGGCAGCGATCTCGGGGTCCCTCCTACATATCTATTGCTAAGAGAACCCTCCTCCTGAGGTGCTTCTGGAAAGTTCGCATACGTCTTGAGCCTAAGCCATGGAATCAGCTCTCATCTCGAGACGATTTGAGGTACACGGAGGATTCCTCCAGTTGCTGTGCTGAAGTTGTAGTTCCTCTAGACTTGGGACAGTGTTCTCGAGGCATCTCTGGAGTTGCCTGAAGGAAGTCGAGCCACCGGTCGTGTTGAATGGGGAACGGGGAATGGCTCTGGAGTCAATCTATGGGAATCGGGCCTCATCTCGAGTTGATTTGGGGCACATGGAGCTGCTTTGCGTTGCTAGGGTGACCTCAGGGTCCGTCTAGACTGGTGACAGTGTTCTTGGGGACTGTCTCGAGATCCATTAAGAAATTCGAAGCTCCTGACTTGTTTGAATGGGATCACGGAATAGCTCTGCATGCACTGCAGGGGAATGGGGCCACATCTCGCCTCTAGGGGGAAGTCTCATGGTTTTTCTCGAGTTGCGGCGGGGACCTGGGGTATGTTCTCGACTTACGGCGGGGATGGCCCTTCAAAACACGAGTTCCTTCAGTGACGTCAGGACTCCTGTCTAGTAACGAGGGACACCTCAGGAATCTCTTCGAGGCTTGACAGGGCAAAAGGGACGCTTCTCGAGGTGAGGCAGGGCACCCAAGGACCCATTCCTCTTATCCACAGGGATTTTGGGATTCCTATCAGTATTCAAGAGGAGTCAGGCATCGACACCTTTTTAAGCAATGAACTGCGCCTGCCTCTCGAGGTGTCAGGGGATGTGAGGCATTCCGTCAAAATGAGGCAGGGACCTAGGGCTTTCTCTAAGGTCTCCACAGGGGATTCAGACATCCCTTCATGTTTTGACATGAAAGACGAGCCTGTATTCAAGCCACTGCAAGGAAATCCGGCCTCCTTTCAAGTTAGGGCTTCTCGCTGTATATTCCACTTGAGGCAGCGATCTCGGGGTCCCTCCCACATACCTATTGCTGAGAGAAGCCTCCTCCTGTGGTGCATCTGGAAAGGTGCCATACGTCTTGAGCCTAAGCCAGCGAATCAGCTCTCATCTCGAGATGATTTGGGGTACACGGAGCATTCCTCGAGTTGGTGTGCTGAAGTTGGTGTTCCTCTAGACTTGCGACAGTGTTCTCGGGGCATCTCTGGAGTTGCCTGAAGGAAGTCGAGCCACCGGTCGTGTTGAATGGGGAACGGGGAATGGCTCTGGAGTCAATGCAGGGGAATCGGGCCTCATCTCGAGTTGATTTGGGGCACATGGAGCTGCTTTGCGTTGCTGGGGTGACCTCAGAGTCCGTCTAGAGTGGTGACAGTGTTCTTGGGGACTGTCTCGAGATCCATTAAGCAAGTCGAAGCTCCTGACTTGTTTCAATGGGATCACGGAATAACTCTGCATGCACTGCAGGGGAATGGGGCCTTATCTCGCCTCTAGGGGGAAGTCTCATAGTTTTTCTCGAGTTGCGGCGGGGACATGCGTTATGTTCCCGACTTACGACGGGGATGGCCTTTCAAAACACGAGTTTCTTCAGTGACGTCAGGACTCCTGTCTAGGAACGAGGGACACCTCAGGAATCTCTTCGAGGGTTGGCAGGGCAAAAGGGACGCTTCTCGAAGTGAGGCAGGGCACCCAAGGACCCTTTCCAGTAGCCACAGGGATTTTGGGATTCCTATCAGTATTCAAGAGGAGTCAGGCATCGTCACCTTTTGAAGCAATGAACTCCGCGTGCCTCTCGAGGTGACAACGGGATGTGAGGCATTCCGTCAAAATGAGGCAGGGACCTAGGGCTTTCTCTAAGGTCTCCACAGGGGATTCAGACATCCCTTCATGTTGTGAGATGAAAGACGTGCCTGTATTCAAGCCACTGAAAGGAAATCCGGCCTTCTTTCAAGTTAGGGCTTCTCGCTGTATATTCCCCTTGAGGTAGCAAACTCGGGGGCCCTCCCACATACCTATTGCTGAGAGAAGCCTCCTCTTGAGGTGCTTCTGGAAATTTGGCATACGTCTTGAGCCTAAGCCAGGGAATCAGCTCTCATCTGGAGACGATTTGGGGTACATGGAGCATTCCTCGAGTTGCTGTACTGAAGTTGGTGTTCCTCTTGACTTGGGACAGTGTTCTCGGGGCATCTCTGGAGTTGCCTGAAGGAAGTCGAGCCAACGGTCGTGTTGAATTGGGAACGGGGAATGGCTCTGGATTCAATGCAGGGGAATCGGGCCTCATCTCGAGTTGATTTGGGGCACATGGAGCTGCTTTGCATTGCTGGGGTGACCTCAGCGTCCATCTAGACTGCTGACAGTGTTCTTGGGGAATGTTTCGAGATCCATTATGCAAATCGAAGCTCTAGACTTGTTTGAATGGGATCACGGAATAGCTCTGCATGCACTGCAGGGGAATGTGGCCTCATCTCGCCTCTAGGTGTAAGTCTCATGATTTTTCTCGAGTTGCGGCCGGGACCTGGGGTATGTTCTCGACTTACGGCAGGGATGGCCCTTCAAAACATGTGTTTATTCAGTGGCGTCAGGACTCCTGTCTAGTAACGAGGGACACCTCAGTAATCTCTTCGAGTCTTGGCAGGGCAAAAGGGACGCTTCTCGAGGTGAGGCAGGGCACCCAAGGACACTTTCCAGTAGCCACAGGGATTTTGGGATTCCTAACAGTATTCAAGAGGAGTCAGGCATCGTCACCTTTTGAAGCAATGAACTCCGCGTGCCTCTCGAGGTGTCAACGGGATGTGAGGCATTCCGTCAAAATGAGCCAGGGACCTAGGGCTTTCTCTAAGGTTTCCAGAGGGGATTCAGACATCCCTTCATGTTGTGAGATGAAAGACGTGCCTGTATTCAAGCCACTGCAAGGAAATCCGGCCTTCTTTCAAGTTAGGGCTTCTCGCTATATATTCCCCTTGAGGCAGCGATCTGAGCGTCCCTCCCACTTACGTATTGCTGAGAGAAGCCTCCTCCTGTGGTGCTTCTGGAAAGGTGGCATACGTCTTGAGCCTAAGCCAGGGAATCAGGTCTCATCTCGAGATGATTTGGGGTACACGGAGCATTCCTCGAGTTTCTGTGTTTCAGTTGGTGTTCCTCTTGACTAGGGACAGGGTTCTCTGGGCATCTCTGGAGTTGCCTAAAGGAAGTCGAGCCACCGGTCTTGTTGAATGGGGAACGGGGAATGGCTCTGGAGTCAATGCAGGGGAATCGGGCCTCATCTCGAGTTGATTTGGGGCACATGGAGCTGCTTTGCGTTGCTGGGGTGACCTCAGAGTTCGTCTAGAGTGGTGACAGTGTTCTTGGGGACTGTCTCGAAATCCATTAAGCAAGTCGAAGCTCCTGACTTGTTTGAATGGGATCACGGAATAGCTCTGCATGCACTGCAGGGGAATGGGGCCTCATCTCGCCTCTAGGGGGAAGTCTCATGGTTTTTCTCGAGTTGCGGCGGGGACCTGGGGTATGTTCTCTACTTACGACGGGGATGGTCCTTCAAAACACCAGTTTCTTCAGTGACGTCAGGACTCCTGTCTAGTAACGAGGGACACCTCAGGAATCTCTTCGAGGGTTGGCAGGGCAAAAGGGACGCTTCTCGAGGTGAGGCAGGGCACCCAAGGCCCCTTTCCCGTAGCCACAGGGATTTTGGGATTCCTATCAGTATTCAAGAGGAGTCAGGCATCGTCACCTTTTGAAGCAATGAACTCCGCGTGCCTCTCGAGGTGTCAACGGGATGTGAGGCATTCCGTCTTAATGAGGCAGGGACCTAGGGCTTTCTCTAGGGTCTCCACAGGGGATTCAGTCATCCCTTCATGTTGTGAGATGAAATACGTGATTGTATTCAAGCCACTGCAAGGAAATCCGGCCTTCTTTCAAGTTAGGGCTTCTCGCTATATATTCCCCTTGAGGCAGCGATCTCCGGGTCCCTCCCACTTACCTATTGCTGAGAGAAGCCTCCTCTTGAGGTGCTTCTGGAAACTTGGCATATGTCTTGAGCCTAAGCCAGGGAATCAGCTCTCATCTCAAGACAATTTGGGGTACACGGAGCATACCTCGAGTTGCTGTGCTGAAGTTGGTGTTCCTCTAGACCTGGAACAGTGTTCGCGGGGCATCTCTGGAGTTGCCTCAAGGAAGTCGAGCCACCGGTCGTGTTGAATGGGGAATGGGGGATGGCTCTGGAGTCAATACAGGGGAATCGGGCCTCACCTCGAGTTGATTTGGGGCACATGGATCAGCTTTGCGTTGCTGGGGTGACCTCAGGGTCCGTCTAGACTGGTGGCAGTGTTCTTGGGGAATGTTTCGAGATCCATTATGCAAATCGAAGCTCCTGACTTGTTTGAATGGGATCATGGAATAACTCTGCTTACACTACAGGGGAATGGGGCCTCATCTCGCCTCTAGGGGGAAGTCTCATGGTTTTTCTCGAGTTGAAGCGGGGACCTGGGGTATGTTCTCGACTTACGGCGGGGATGGCCCATCAAAACACGAGTTTCTTCAGTGACATCAGGACTCCTGTCTAGTAACGAGGGACACCTCAGGAATCTCTTCGAGGGTTGGCAGGGCAAAAGGGACGCTTCTCGAAGTGAGGCAGGGCACCCAAGGACCCTTTCCAGTAGCCACAGGGATTTTGGGATTCCTATCAGTATTCAAGAGGAGTCAGGCATCGTCACCTTTTGAAGCAATGAACTCCGCGTGCCTCTCGAGGTGTCAACGGGATGTGAGGCATTCCGTCAAAATGAGGCAGGGACCGAGGGCTTTCTCTAAGGTCTCCACGGGGGATTCAGACATCCCTTCATGTTTTGACATCAAAGACGAGCCTGTATTCAAGCCACTGCAAGGAAATCCGGCCTCCTTTCAAGTTAGGGCTTCTCGCTATATATTCCCCTTGAGGCAGCGATCTCTGGGTCCCTCCCACTTACCTATTGCTGAGAGAAGCCTCCTCTTGAGGTGCTTCTGGAAAGTTGGCATATGTCTTGAGCCTAAGCCAGGGAATCAGCTCTCATCTCGAGACGATTTGGGGTACACGGAGCATAACTCGAGTTGCTGTGCTGAAGTTGGTGTTCCTCTAGACTTGGGACAGTGTTCTCGGGGCATCTCTGCAGTTGCCTGAAGGAAGTCGAGCCACCGGTCTTGTTGAATGGGGAACGGGGAATGGCTCTGGAGTCAATGCAGGGGAATCGGGCCTCATCTCGAGTTGATTTGGGGCACATGGAGCTGCTTTGCGTTGCTGGGGTGACCTCAGTGTCCGTCTAGACTGGTGACAGTGTTCTTGGGGACTGTCTCGAGATACATTAAGCAAGTCAAAGCTCCTGACTTGTTTGAATGGGATCACGGAATAGCTCTGCATGCACTGCAGGGGAATGGGGCCTAATCTCGCCTCTAGGGGGAAGTCTCATGATTTTTCTCGAGTTGCGGCGGGGACCTGGGGTATGTTCTCGACTTACGGCGGGGATGGCCCTTCAAAACACGAGTTTCTTCAGTGACGTCAGGACTCCTGTCTAGTAACGAGGGACACCTCAGGAATCTCTTCGAGGCTTGGCAGGGCAAAAGGGACGCTTCTTGAGGTGAGGCAGGGCACCCAAGGCCCCTTTCCAGTAGCCACAGGGATTTTGGGATTCCTATCAGTATTCAAGAGGAGTCAGGCATCGTCACCTTTTGAAGCAATGAACTCCGCGTGCCTCTCGAGGTGTCAACGGGATGTGAGGCATTCCGTCAAAATGAGGCAGGGACCGAGGGCTTTCTCTAAGGTCTCCACAGGGGATTCAGACATCCCTTCATGTTGTGAGATGAAAGACGTGCCTGTATTCAAGCCACTGCAAGGAAATCCGGCCTTCTTTCAAGTTAGGGCTTCTCGCTGTATATTCCCCTTGAGGCAGCAATCTCGGGGTCCTTCCCACATACCTATTGCTGAGAGAAGCCTCCTCTTGAGGTGCTTCTGGAAAGTTGGCATACGTCTTGAGCTTAAGCCAGGGAATCAGCTCTCATCTCGAGACGATTTGGGGTACACGGAGCATACCTCGAGTTGCTGTGCTGAAGTTGGTGTTCCTCTAGACTTGGGACAGTGTTCTCGGGGCATCTCTGGAGTTGCCTGAAGGAAGTCGAGCCACCGGTCGTGTTGAATGGGGAACGGGGGATGGCTCTGGATTCAATGTAGGGGAATCGGGCCTCATCTCGAGTTGATTTGGGGCACATGGAGCTGCTTTGCGTTGCTGGGGTGACCTCAGGGTCCGTCTAGACAGGTGACAGTGTTCTTGGGGAATGTTTCGAGATCCATTATGCAAAACGAAGCTCCTGACTTGTTTGAATGGGATTACGGAATAGCTCTGCATGTTCTGCAGGGGAATGGGGCCTCATCTCGCCTCTAGGGGGAAGTCTCATGGTTTTTCTCGAGTTGCGGCGGGGACCTGGGGTATGTTCTCTACTTATGGCGGGATGGCCCTTCAAAACACGAGTTTCTTCAGTGACGTCAGGACTCCTGTCTAGTAACGAGGGACACCTCAGGAATCTCTTCAAGGCTTGGCAGGGCAAAAGGGACGCTTCTCGAAGTGAGGCAGTTAACCCAAGGACCCTTTCCAGTAGCCACAGGGATTTTGGGATTCCTATCAGTATTCAAGAGGAGTCAGGCATCGTCACCTTTTGAAGCAATGAACTCCGCGTGCCTCTCGAGGTGTCAACGGGATGTGAGGCATTCCGTCAAAATGAGGCAGTGACCTAGGGCTTTCTTTAAGGTCTACACAGGGGATTCCGGCATCCCTTCATGTTGTGAGATGAAAGACGTGCCTGTATTCAAGCCACTGCAAGGAAATCCGGCCTCCTTTCAAGTTAGGGCTTCTCGCTGTATATTCCACTTGAGGCAGCGATCTCGGGGTCCCTCCCAAATACCTATTGCTGAGAGAAGCCTCCTCCTGAGGTGCTTCTGGAAAGGTGGCATACGTCTTGAGCCTAAGCCAGGGAATCAGCTCTCATCTCGAGACGATTTGGGGTACACGGAGCATTCCTCGAGTTGCTGTGCTGATGTTGGTGTTCCTCTAGACTTGGGACAGTGTTCTCGGGGCATCTCTGGAGTTGCCTGAAGGAAGTCGAGCCACCGGTCGTGTTGAATGGGGAACGGGGAATGGCTCTGGAGTCAATGCAGGGGAATCGGGCCTCATCTCGAGTGGATCTGGGGCACATGGAGCTGCTTTGCGTTGCTGGGGTGACCTCAGGGTCCGTCTAGACTGGTGACAGTGTTCTTGGGGACTGTTTCGAGATCCATTATGCAAATCGAAGCTCCAGACTTGTTTGAATGGGATCACGGAATAGCTCTGCATGCACTGCAGGGGAATGGGGCCTCATCTCGCCTCTAGGGGGAATTCTCATGGTTTTTCTCGAGTTGCGGCGGGGACCTGGGGTATGTTCTCGATTTACGGCAGGGATGGCCCTTCAAAACACGAGTTCCTTCAGTGACGTCAGGACTCCTCTCTAGTAACGAGGGACACCTCAGGAATCTCTTCGAGGCTTGACAGGGCAAAAGGGACGCTTCTCGAGGTGAGGCAGGGCACCCAAGGACCCTTTCCTAGTAGTCACAGGGATTTTGGTATTCCTATCAGTATTCAAGAGGAGTCAGGCATCGACACCTTTTTAAGCAATGAACTCCGCGTGCCTCTCGAGGTGTCAACGGGATGTGAGGCATTCCGTCAAAATGAGGCAGGGAACTAGGGCTTTCTCTAAGGTCTCCACAGGGGATTCAGACATCCCTCCATGTTTTGACATCAAAGACGAGCCTGTATTCAAGCCACTGCAAGGAAATCCGGCCTCCTTTCAAGTTAGGGCTTCTCGCTGTATATTCCACTAGAGGCAGCTATCTCGGGGTCCCTCCCAAATACCTATTGCTGACAGAAGCCTCCTCCTGAGGTGCTTCTGGAAAGGTGGCATACGTCTTGAGACTAAGCCAGGGAATCAGCTCTCATCTCGAGACGATTTGGGGGACTCGGAGCATTCCTCGAATTGCTGTGCTGAAGTTGGTGTTCCTCTAGACTTGGGACAGTGTTCTCGGGGCATCTCTGGAGTTGCCTGAAGGAAGTCGAGCCACCGGTCGTGTTGAATGTGGAACGGGCAATGGCTCTGGAGTCAATGCAGGGGAATCGGGCCTCATGTCGAGTTGATTTGGGGCACATGGAGCTGCTTTGCGTTGCTGGGGTGACCTCAGGGTCCGTCTAGACTGGTGACAGTGTTCTTGGGGACTGTCTCGGGATCCATTAAGCAAGTCGAAGCTCCTGACTTAATTTATGGGGATCACGGAATTGCTCTGCATGCACTGCAGGGGAATCGGGCCTCATCTCACATCTAGGGGGATGTCTCATGTTTTTTTTTCGATTTGCGGCGGGGATATGCGGTATGTTCTCGAGTAACGGCGGGGATTGCCCTTCAAAACTCGTGTTTATTCAGTGACCTCAGGACTCCTGTCTAGTAACGAGGGACACCTCAGTAATCTCTTCGAGGACTGGAAGGGCACATGAGACGCTTCTCGAGGTGAGGAAGGGCACCCAAGGACCCTTTCCAGTAGCTAAAGGGATTTGGGGATTCCTATCAATATTCAAGAGTAGTCAGGCATCTTCACCTTTTGAAGCAGTGAACTCTGCGTGCCTCTCGAGTTGTCAACGGGATGTGAGGCTTTTCGTCAAAATGAGGCAGGGACCTAGGGCTTTCTCTAAGGTCTCCACAGGGGATTCAGACATCCCTTCATGTTGGAAGATGAAAGACGAGCTGTATTCAAGCCACTTCAAGGAAACCCGTCCGCCTTTCAAGTTAGGGCTTCTCGCTGTATATCCCACTTGAGACAGCAAACTCGGGGTCCCTACCACATACCTTTTGCTTAAAGAAGTCTCCCCTTGAGGTGCTTCTGGAAAGTTGGCATACGTCTTGAGCATAAGCCAGGGAATCAGCTCTCATCTCGAGACGATTTGGGGTACATGGAGCATTCCTCGAGTTGCTGTGCTGAAGTTGGTGTTCCTCTAGACTTGGGACAGTGTTCTCGGGCATGTCTGGTGGTGCCTGAAGGAAGTCAAGCCACTGGTCGTGTTGAATAGGGAACGGGTGATAGCTCTGGAGTCAATGGAGTGGAATCGTGCCTCACTTCGAGTTGATTTGTGGCACATGGAGCTACTTTGTGTTGCTGTGGTAACCTCAGGGTCCATCTAGACTTGTGACAGTGTTCTTGGGGACTGTCTCGAGATCCATTAAGGAATTCGAATCTCCAGTCTTGTTTGATGGGGATCACGGAATTGCTCTGCATGCACTGCAGGGGAATCGAGGCTCATCTCGCATCTATGGGGAAGTCTCATGGTTTTTCTCGAGTTGCGGCGGGGATCTGCGGTATGTTCTCGAGTTACGGCGGGGATGGCCCTTCAAAACACATGTTTATTCAGTGACGTCAGGACTCCTGTCTAGTAACGTGGGACACCTCAGGAATCTTTTTGAGCCTTGGCAGGGCAAAAGGGACTCTTCTCGAGGTGAGGAAGGGCTCCCAAGGACCCTTTCCAGTAGCCACAGGGATTTTTGCATTCCTATCAATATTCAAGAGGAGTCAGCCATCGTCACCTTTTGAAGCAGTGAACTCTGATGCCTCTCGAGTTGTCAACGGGATGTGAGGCTTTTCGTCAAAATGAGGCAGGGACCTAGGGCTATCTCTAAGGTCTCCACAGGGGATTCAGACATCCCTTCATGTTGGGAGATGAAAGACGAGCCTGTATTCAAGCCACTGCAAGGAAACCCGGCCTCCTTTCAATTAGGGCTTCTCGCTGTATATAACATTTGAGGCAGCAAACTCGGGGTCCCTACCACATACCTATTGCTGAAAGAAGCCTCCCCTTGAGGTGCTTTTGGAAAGTTGGCATACGTCTTGAGCCTAAGCCAGGGAATCACCTCTCATCTCGAGAGGATTTGGGGTATATAGAGCATTCTTCGAGTTGCTGTGCTGAAGTTGGTGTTCCTCTAGCCTTGGGACAGTGTTCTCGGTGCATCTCTGAGTTGCCTGAAGTAAGTCAAGCCACTGGTCGTGTTTAATCGGGAACGGGATATGGCTCTGCAGTCAACGCAGGGGAATCGGGCCTCATCTCGAGTTGATTTGGGGCACATGGAGCTGCTTTGCGTTGCAGGGGTGACCTCAGGGTCCGTCTAGACTTGTGACAGTGATCTTGGGGACTGTCTCGAGATGCATTAAGCAAGTCGAAGCTCGTGACGTGTTTGATGGGCATCACCGAATTGCTCTGCGTGCACTGCAGGGGAATCGGGCCTCATCTCACATCTAGGGGGAAGTCTCATGATTTTCCTCGATTTGCAGCGGGGAATGCACTATGTTCTCGAGTTACGGCGGGGATTGCCCTTCAAAACTCGTGTTTATTCAGTGACGTCAGGACTCCTGTCTAGTAACGAGGGACACCTCAGAAATCTCTTTGAGGACTGGCAGGGCACGAAGGACGCTTCTCGAGGTGAGGCAGTGCACCCAAGGAAACTTTCCAGTAGCCACAGAGATTTTGGGATTTCTACCAATATTCACGATGAGTCAGGCTACGTTACCTTTTGAAGCAGTGAACTCCGCGTGCCTCTCGAGGTGTCAACAGGATGTGAGGCATTCCGTCAAAAGGAAGCAGGGACCTAGGGCTTTCTCTAAGGTCTCCACAGGAGATTCAGCAATCCCTTCCTGTTGTGAGATGAAAGACGAGCCTGTATTCAAGCCACTGCAAGGAAACCCGGCCTCCTTTCAAGTTAGGGCTTCTCCCTGTATATCCCACTTGAGGCAGCAAACTCGGGGCCCCTCCCACATACCTATTGCTGAGAGAAGCCTCCCCTTGAGGTGCTTCCGGAAAGTTGGCATACGTCTTGACCCAAAGCCACGGAATCAGCTCTCATCTCGAGACGATTTGGGGTACACGGAGCATTCCTCGAGTTGCTGTGCCAAAGTTGGTGTTCCTCTGGACTTGCGACAGTGTTCTCGGGGCATCTCTGGAGTTGCCTGAAGGAAGTCAAGCCACTGGTCGTGTTTAATGGGAAACGGGGGATGTCTCTGGAGTCAACGCAGGGGAATTGGGCCTCATCTCGAGTTGATTTGGGGCACATGGAGCTGCTTTGCGTTGCAGGGGTGACCTCAGGGTCCGTCTAGACTTGTGACAGTGATCTTGGGGACTGTCTCGAGATGCATTAAGCAAGTCAAAGCTCCTGACTTGTTTGATGGGGATCACGGAATTGCTCTGCGTGCACTGCAGTGGAATCGGGCCTCATCTCACATCTAGGGGGAAGTCTCATGGTTTTCCTCGAGTTGCAGTGGGGACCTGCAGTATGTTCTCGAGTTACGGCGGGGATTGCCCTTCAAAACTCGTGTTTATTCAGTGACGTCAGGACTCCTGTCTAGTAACGAGGGTCACCTCAGTAGTCTCTTTGAGGACTGGCAGGGCACGAGGGACGCTTCTCCAAGTGAGGCAGTGCACCCAAGGAAAATTTAGTAGCCACAGAGATTTTGGGATTTCTACCAATATTCACGATGTGTCAGGCTACGTTACCTTTTGAAGCAGTGAACTCCACGTGCCTCTCGAGGTGTGAATGGGATGTGAGGTATTCCGTCATAATAGGCAGGGACCTAGGGCTTTCTCTAAGGTCTCCACAGGGGATTCAGGCATACCTTCACGTTCGGAGATGAAAGACGAGCCTGTATTCAAGCCACTGCAAGGAAACCCGGCCTCCTTTCAAGTTAGGGCTTCTCGCTGTATATCCCACTTGAGGCAGCAAACTCGGGGCCCCTCCCATATACCTATTGCTGAGAGAAGCCTCCCCTTGAGGTGCTTCCGGAAAGTTGGCATACGTCTTGACCCAAAGCCACGGAATCAGCTCTCATCTCGAGACGATTTGGGGTACACGGAGCATTACTCGAGTTGCTGTGCTGAAGTTGGTGTTCCTCTAGACTTGGGACAGTGTTCTCAGGGCATCTCTGGAGTTGCCTGAAGGAAGTCAACCACTGGTCGTGTTTAATGGGGAACGGGGGATGGCTCTGGAGTCAACGCAGGGGAATCGGGCCTCATCTCGAGTTGATTTGGGGCACATGGAGCTGCTTTGCGTTGCTGGGCTGACCTCAGGGTCCATCTAGACTTGTGACAGTGTTCTTGGGGACTGTCTCGAGATCCATTAAGCAAGTGGAAGCTCCTGACTTGTTTGATGGGAATCACGGAATTGCTCTGCGTGCACTGCGGGGTATCGGACCTCATCTCACATATAGGGGGAAGTCTCATGATTTTTCTCGATTTGTGGTGGGGACCTGCGGTATGTTCTCGAGTTACGGCGGGGATTGCCCTTCAAAACACATGTTTATTCAGTGACGTCAGGACTCCTGTCTGCTAACGAGGGACACCTCAGGAATCTCTTTGAGACCTGGCAGGGCAAAAGGGACGCTTCTCGAGGTGAGGCAGGGCACTCAAGGACCCTTTCCAGCAGCCACAGGGATTTTGGGATTCCTATCAGTATTCAAGAGGAGTCAGGCATCGTCACCTTTTGAAGCAGTGAACTCCGCGTGCCTCTCGAGGTGTCAACAGGATGTGAGGCATTCCGTCAAAATGAGGCAGGGACCTAGGGCTTTCTCTAAGGTCTCCACAGGGGATTCAGACATCGCTTTACGTTGGGAGATGAAAGACGAACCTGTATTCAAGCCACTGCAAGGAATCCCGGCCTCCTTTCAAGTTAGGGCTTCTCGCTGTATATCCCACTTGAGGCAGCAAACTCGGGGCCCCTCCCACATAACTATTGCTGAAAGAAGCCTCCCCTTGAGGTGCTTCTGGAATGTTGGCATACGTCTTGAGCCTAAGCCAGGTAATCGGCTCTCATCTCGAGACGGTTTGGGGTACACAGAGCATTCCTCGAGTTGCTGTGCTGAAGTTGGTGTTCCTCTAGACTAGGGACAGTGTTCTCGGGGCATCTCTGGAGTTGCCTGAAGGAAATCAAGCCACTGGGCGTGTTTAATGGGGAACGGGGGATGGCTCTGGAGTCAACGCAGCGGAATCGGGCCTCATCTCGAGTTGATTTGATGCACATGGAGCTGCTTTGCATTGCAGCGGTGACCTCAGGGTGCGTCTAGACTTGTGACAGTGTTCTTGGGGACTGTCTCGAGATGCATTAAGCAAGTCGAAGCTCCTCACTTGTTTGATGGGGATCACGGAATTGCTCTGCATGTACTGCAGGGGAACCGGCCCTCATATCGCATCTAGGGGGAAGTCTCATGGTTTTTTTCGATTTGCGGTGGGGACCTGCGGTATGTTCTCGAGTTACGGCGGGGATTGCCCTTCAAAACTCGTGTTTATTCAGTGATGTCAGGACTCCTGTCTAGTAACGAGGGACACCTCAGTAATCTCTTCGAGGACTGGCAGGGCATGAGGGACGCTTCTCGAGGTGAAGCAGTGCACCCAATGACCCTTTCCAGTAGCCACAGAGATTTTGGATTTCTACCAATATTCACCATGAGTCTGGCTACGTTACCTTTTGAAGCAGTGAACTCCGCCTGCCTCTCGAGGTGTCAACGGGATGTTGGGCATTCCGTCATAATGTCGCAGGGACCTAGGGCTTTCTCTAAGGTCTGCACAGGGGATTCAGACATCGCTTCATGTTGTGAGATGAAAGACGTGCCTGTATTCAAGCCACTGCAAGGAAATCCGGCCTTCTTTCAAGTTAGGGCTTCTCGCTGTATATTCCCCTTGAGGCAGCGATCTCGGGGTCCCTCCCACATACCTATTGCTGAGAAAAGCCTCCTCTTGAGGTGCTTCTGGAAATATGGCATACGTCTTGAGCCTAAGCCAGGGAATCAGCTATCATCTCGAGACGATTTGGGGTACATGGAGCATTCCTCGAGTTGCTGTGCTGAAGTTGGTGTTCCTCTTGACTTGGGACAGTGTTCTCGGGGCATCTCTGGAGTTGCCTGAAAGAAGTCGAGCCACCGGTCTTGTTGAATGGGGAACGGGTGATGGCTCTGGATTCAATGCAGGGGAAGCGGGACTCATCTCCAGTTGATTTGTGGCACATGGAGCTGCTTTGCGTTGCTGGGGTGACCTCAGTGTCCGTTGAGACTGGTGACAGTGTTCTTGGGGACTGTCTCGAGATCCATTAAGCAAGTCGAAGCTCCTGAGTTGTTTGAATGGGATCACGGAATTGCTCTGCATGCACTGCAGGGGAATGGGGCCTCATCTCGCCTCTAGGGGGAAGTCTCATGGTTTTTGTCGAGTTGCGGCGGGGACCTGGGGTATGTTCTCGATTTACGGCGGGGGTGGCCCTTCATAACACGGTTACTTCAGTGACGTCAGGACTCCTGTCTAGTAACGAATGACACCTCAGGAATCTCTTCGAGGCCTGAAGGGCAAAAGGGACGCTTCTCGAGGTGAGGCAGGGCACCCAAGGACCCTTTCCTAGTAGCCACAGGGATTTTGGGATTCCTATCATTATTCAAGAGGAGTCTGGCATCGACACCTTTTTAAGCAATGAACTCAGCGTGCCTCTCGAGGTGTCAACGGGATGTGAGGCATTCCGTCAAAATGAGGCAGGGACCTAGGGCTTTCTCTAAGGTCTCCACAGTGGATTCAGACATCCCTTCATGTTTTGAGATCAAAGACGAGCCTGTATTCAAGCCACTGCAAGGAAATCCGGCCTCCTTTCAAGTTAGGGCTTCTCGCTGTATATTCCACTTGAGGCAGCGATCTCGGGGTCCCTCCCACATACCTATTGCTGAGAGAAGCCTCCACTTGAGGTGCTTCTCGAAAGTTGGCATACGTCTTGAGCCTAAGCAGGGAATCAGCTCTCATCTCGAGACGATTTCGGGTACACGGATCATTCCTCGAGTTGCTGTGCTTAAGTTGGTGTTCCGCTTGACTAGGGACAGTGTTCTCTGGGCATCTCTGGAGTTGCCTAAAGGAAGTTGAGCCACCGGTCTTGTTGAATGGGGAACGGGGAATGGCTCTGGAGTCAATGCAGGGGAATCGGGCCTCATCTCGAGTTGATTTAGGGCACATGGAGCTGCTTTGCATTGCTGGAGTGACCTCAGGGTCCGTCTAGACGGGTGACAGTGTTCTTGGGGAATGTTTCGAGATCCATTATGCAAATCGAAGCTCCTGACTTGTTTGAATGGGATCACGGAATAGCTCTGCATGCACTGCAGGGGAATGGGGCCTAATCTCGCCTCTAGGTGGAAGTCTCATGATTTTTCTCGAGTTCCGGCGGGGACCTGGGGTATGTTCTCGACTTACGGCGGGGATGGCCCTTCAAAACACGAGTTTCTTCAGTGACGTCAGGATTCCTGTCTAGTAACGAGGGACACCTCAGGAATCTCTTCGAGGCTTGGCAGGGCAAAAGGGACGCTTCTCGAGGTGAGGCAGGGCACCCAAGGACCCTTTCCAGTAGCCACAGGGATTTTGGGATTCCTATCAATATTCAAGAGGAGTCAGGCATCGTCACCTTTTGAAGCAGTGAACTCTGAGTGCCTCTCCAGGTGTCAACGGGATGTGAGGCTTTCCGTCAAAATGAGGCAGGGACCTAGGGCTTTCTCTAAGGTCTCCACAGGCGATTCAGACATCCCTTCATGATGGGAGGTGAAAGATGAGCCTGTATTCAAGCCACTTCAAGGAAACCCAGCCTCCTTTCACGTTAGGGCTTCTCGCTGTATATTCCCCTTGATGCAGCAAACTCGGGGTCCCTCCCACATACCTATTGCTGAGAGAAGCCTCCCCTTGAGGTGCTTCCGGAAAGTTGGCATACGTCTTGACCCAAAGCCACGGAATCAACTCTCATCTCGAGACGATTTGTGGTACACGGAGCATTCCTCGAGTTGCTGTGCTGAAGTTGGTGTTCCTCTAGACTTGGGACATTGTTCTCGGGGCATCTCTGGAGTTGCCTGAAGGAAGTCAAGCCACTGGTCTTGTTTAATGGGGAACGGGGGATGGCTCTGGTGTCAACGCAGGGGAATCGGGCCTCATCTCGAGTTGATTTGGGGCACATGGAGCTGCTTTGCATTGCAGGGGTGACCTCAGGGTCCATCTAGACTTGTGACAGTGTTCTTGGGGACTGTCTCGAGATCCATTAAGCAAGTAGAAGCTCCTGACTTGATTGATGGGGATCACGGAATTGCTCTGCGTGCACTGCAGGGGAATCGGGCCTCATCTCACATCTAGGGGGAAGTCTCATAGTTTTTTTCGATTTGTGTCGGGGACCTGCGGTATGTTCTCGAGTTACGGCGGGGATTGCCCTTCAACACTCGTGTTTATTCAGTGACGTCAGGACTCCGGTCTAGTAACGAGGGACACCTCAGTAATCTCTTCGAGGACCGGCAGGGCACAAGAGACTCTTCTCGAGGTGAGGAAGGGCACCCAAAGACCCTTTCCAGTAGCCACAGGGATTTTGGGATTCCTATCAATATTCAAGAGTAGTCAGGAATCGTCACCTTTTGAAGCAGTGAACTCTGCGTGCCTCTCGAATTGTCAACGGGATATGAGGCTTTTCGTCAAAATGAGGCAGGGACGTAGGGCTTTCTCTAAGGTCTCCACAGGGGATTCAGACATCCCTTCATGTTGGGAGATGAAAGACGAGCCTGTATTCAAGCCACTGCAATTAAACCCGGCCTCCTTTCAAGTTAGGTCTTCTCGCTGTATATTCCACTTGAGGCAGCAAACTCGGGGTCCCTCCCATATACCTATTGCTGAGAGAAGCCTCCTCTTGAGGTGCTTCTGGAAAGTTGGCATACGTCTTGAGCCTAAGCCAGGGAATCAGCTCTCATCTCAAGACGATTTGTGGTACACGGAGCATTCCTCGAGTTGCTGTGCCGAAGTTCGTGTTCCTCTAGACTTGGGACAGTGTTCTCGGGGCATCTCTGGAGTTGCCTGAAGGAAGTCAAGCCACTGGTCGTGTTTAATGGGGAACGGGGGATGGGTCTGGAGTCAACGCAGGGGAATCGGGCCTCATCTCGAGTTGATTTGAGGCACATGGAGCTGCTTTGCGTTGCAGGGGTGACTTCAGGGTCCGTCTAGACTTGTGACAGTGTTCTTGGGGACTGTCTCGAGATCCATTAAGCAAGTCGAAACTCCTGACTTGTTTGATGGGGATCACGGAATTGCGCTGCATGCACTGCAAGGGAATCGGGCCTCATCTCGCATCTACGGGGAAGTCTCATGGTTTTTCCCGAGTTGTGGCGGGGATATGCGGTATGTTTTCCAGTTAGGTCGGGGATGGCCCTTCAAATCACATGTTTATTCAGTGACGTCAGGACAACTTTCTAGTAACGTGGGACAACTCAGGAATCTCTTCGAGGCTTGGCAGGGCACAAGGGACGCTTCTCGAGGTGAGGAAGGGCTCCCAAGGACCCTTTCCAGTAGCCACAGGGATTTTGGGATTCCTATCAATATTCAAGAGGAGTCAGGAATCATCACCTTTTGAAGCACTGAACTCTGCGTGTCTCCCGAGGTGTCACCTTGATCTGAGGCATTCCGTCATAATGAGGCAGGCACCTAGGGCTATCTCTAAGGTCTCCACAGGGGATTCAGACATCCCTTCATGTTGGGAGATGAAAGACGAGCCTGTATTCAAGCCACTGCAAGGAAACCCGGCCTCCTTTCAATTAGGGCTTCTCGCTGTATATAACATTTGAGGCAGCAAACTCGGGGTCCCTACCACATACCTATTGCTGAAAGAAGCCTCCCCTTGAGGTGCTTTTGGAAAGTTGGCATACGTCTTGAGCCTAAGCCAGGGAATCACCTCTCATCTCGAGAGGATTTGGGGTATATAGAGCATTCTTCGAGTTGCTGTGCTGAAGTTGGTGTTCCTCTAGACTTGGGACAGTGTTCTCGGTGCATCTCTGAGTTGCCTGAAGTAAGTCAAGCCACTGGTCGTGTTTAATCGGGAACGGGATATGGCTCTGCAGTCAACGCAGGGGAATCGGGCCTCATGTCGAGTTGATTTGGGGCACATGGAGCTGCTTTGCTTTGCAGGGGTGACGTCAGGGTCTGTCTAGACTTTTGACAGTGTTCTTGGGGACTTTCTCGAGATCCATTAAGCAATTTGAATCTCCTGCTTGTTTGATGGGGATCACGGAATTGCTCTGCCTGCACTGCACGGGAATCGGGCCTCATCTCGCATCTAGGGGGAAGTCTCATGGTTTTTCTCGAGTTGCGGCGGGGATATGCGTTATGTTCTCGAGTTACGGCGGGGATGGCCTTTCAAAACACATGTTTATTCAGTGACGTTAGGACTCCTGTCTAGTAACGTGGGACACCTCAGGAATCTCTTCGAGGCTTGGCAGGGCACAAGGGACTCTTCTCGAAGTGAGGAAGTGTACCCAAGGACACTTTCCAGTAGCCACAGGGATTTTGGGATTCCTATCAATATTCAAGAGGAGTCAGGCATCCTCACCTTTTGAAGCAGTGAACTCTGCGTGCCTCTCGAGGTGTCAACTTGATGTGAGGCATTCCGTCATAATGAGGCAGGGACCTAGGGCTTTCTCTAAGGTCTCCACAGGGGATTCAGACATCCCTTCATGTTGGGAGATGAAAGACGAGCCTGTATTCAAGCCACTGCAAGGAAACCCGGCCTCCTTTCAATTAGGGCTTCTCGCTGTATATAACATTTGAGGCAGCAAACTCGGGGTCCCTACCACATACCTATTGCTGAAAGAAGCCTCCCCTTGAGGTGCTTTTGGAAAGTTGGCATACGTCTTGAGCCTAAGCCAGGGAATCACCTCTAATCTCGAGAGGATTTGGGGTATATAGAGCATTCTTCGAGTTGCTGTGCTGAAGTTGGTGTTCCTCTAGACTTGGGACAGTGTTCTCGGTGCATCTCTGAGTTGCCTGAAGTAAGTCAAGCCACTGGTCGTGTTTAATCGGGAACGGGATATGGCTCTGCAGTCAACGCAGGGGAATCGGGCCTCATGTCGAGTTGATTTGGGGCACATGTAGCTGCTTTGCGTTGCAGGGGTGACCTCAGGGTCCGTCTAGACTTGTGACAGTGTTCTTGGGGACTGTCTCGAGATCCATTAAGCAAGTCGAAGCTCCTGACTTGATTGATGGGGATCACGGAATTGCTCTGCGTGCACTGCAGGGGAATCGGGCCTCATCTCACATCTAGGGCGAAGTCTCATGGTTTTTTTCGATTTGCGGTGGGGACCTGCGGTATGTTCTCAAGTTACGGAGGGGATTGCCCTTCAAAACTCGTGTTTATTCAGTGATGTCAGGACTCCTGTCTAGTAACGAGGGACACCTCAGTAATCTCTTCGAGGACTGGCAGGGCATGAGGGACGCTTCTCGAGGTGAGGCAGTGCACCCAATGACCCTTTCCAGTAGCCACAGAGATTTTGGGATTTCTACCAATATTCACCATGAGTCTGGCTACGTTACCTTTTGAAGCAGTGAACTCCGCGTGCCTCTCGAGGTGTCAACGGGATGTGAGGCATTCCGTCATAATGTCGCAGGGACCTAGGGCTTTCTCTAAGGTCTGCACAGGGGATTCAGACATCCCTTCATGTTGTGAGATGAAAGATGAGCCTCTATTCAAGCCACTGCAAGGAAACCCGGCCTCCTTTCAAGTTAGGGCTTCTCACTCTATATCCCACTTGAGGCAGCAAACTCGTTGCCCCTCCCACATACCTATTGCTGAACGAAGCCTCCCCTTGAGGTGCTTCTGGAAAGTTGGCATACCTCTTGAGCCTAAGCCAGGGAATCAGCTCTCATCTCGAGACGATTTGGGGTACACGGAGCATTCCTCGAGTTGCTGTGCTGAAGTTGGTGTTCCTCTAGACTTGGGGCAGTGTTCTCGGGGCATCTCTGGAGTTGCCTGAAGGAAATCAAGCCACTGGTCATGTTTATTGGGGAACGGGGGATGGCTCTGGTGTCAATGCAGGGGAATCGAGACTCATCTCGAGTTGATTTGGGGCACATGAAGCTGCTTTGCTTTGCATGGGTGACGTCAGGGTCCGTCTAGACTTGTGACAGTGTTCTTGGGGACTTTCTCGAGATCCATTAAGCAATTTGAATCTCCTGCTTGTTTGATGGGGATCACGGAATTGCTCTGCCTGCACTGCACGGGAATCGGGCCTCATCTCGCATCTAGGGGGAAGTCTCATGGTTTTTCTCGAGTTGCGGCAGGGATATGCGGTATGTTCTCGAGTTACGGCGGGGATGGCCTTTCAAAACACATGTTTATTCAGTGACGTCAGGACTCCTGTCTAGTAACATGGGACACCTCAGGAATCTCTTCGAGGCTTGGCAGGGCACAAGGGACTCTTCTCGAAGTGAGGAAGTGCACCCAAGTACCCTTTCCAGTAGCCACAGGAATTTTGGGATTCCTATCAATATTCAAGAGGAGTCAGGCATCCTCACCTTTTGAAGCAGTGACCTCTGCGTGCCTCTCGAGGTGTCAACGGGATGTGAGGCTTTCCGTCAACATGAGGCAGGGACCTAGGGCTTTCTCTAAGGTCTCCACAGGGGATTCAGACATACCTTCATGTTGGGAGATGAAAGACGAGCCTGTATTCAACCCACTGCAAGGAAACCTGGCCTCCTTCAGGTTAGGGCTTCTCACTGTATATTCCACTTGAGGCAGCAAATTCGGGGTCCCTCCCACATACCTATTGCTGAGAGAAGCCTCCCCTTGAGGTGCTTCCGGAAAGTTGGCATTCGTCTTGACCCAAAGCCACGGAATCAGCTCTCATCTCGAGACGATTTGGGGTACACGGAGCGTTCCTCGAGTTGCTGTGCTGAAGTTGGTGTTCCTCTAGACTTGGGACAGTGTTCTCGGGGCATCTCTGGAGTTGCCTGAAGGAAGTCAAGCCACTGGTCTTGTTTAATGGGGAACGGGGGATGGCTCTGGGGTCAACGCAGGGGAATCGGGCCTCATCTCGAGTTGATTTGGGGCACATGGAGCTGCTTTGGGTTGCAGGGGTGACCTCAGGGTCCGTCTAGACTTGTGACAGTGTTCTTGGGGACTGTCTCGAGATCCATTAAGCAAGTCGAAGCTCCTGACTTGATTGATGGGGATCACGGAATTGCTCTGCGTGCACTGCAGGGGAATCGGGCCTCATCTCACATCTAGGGCGAAGTCTCATGGTTTTTTTCGATTTGCGGTGGGGACCTGCGGTATGTTCTCAAGTTACGGAGGGGATTGCCCTTCAAAACTCGTGTTTATTCAGTGATGTCAGGACTCCTGTCTAGTAACGAGGGACACCTCAGTAATCTCTTCGAGTACTGGCAGGGCATGAGGGACGCTTCTCGAGGTGAGGCAGTGCACCCAATGACCCTTTCCAGTAGCCACAGAGATTTTGGGATTTCTACCAATATTCACCATGAGTCTGGCTACGTTACCTTTTGAAGCAGTGAACTCCGCGTGCCTCTCGAGGTGTCAACAGGATGTGAGGCATTCCGTCATAATGTCGCAGGGACCTAGGGCTTTCTCTAAGGTCTGCACAGGGGATTCAGACATCCCTTCATGTTGTGAGATGAAAGATGAGCCTCTATTCAAGCCACTGCAAGGAAACCGGCCTCCTTTCAAGTTAGGGCTTCTCACTCTATATCCCACTTGAGGCAGCAAACTCGTTGCCCCTCCCACATACCTATTGCTGAACGAAGCCTCCCCTTGAGGTACTTCTGGAAAGTTGGCATACGTCTTGAGCCTAAGCCAGGGAATCAGCTCTCATCTCGAGACGATTTGGGGTACACGGAGCATTCCTCGAGTTGCTGTGCTGAAGTTGGTGTTCCTCTAGACTTGGGACAGTGTTCTCGGGGCATCTCTGGAGTTGCCTGAAGGAAATCAAGCCACTGGTCGTGTTTATTGGGGAACGGGGGATGGCTCTGGTGTCAATGCAGGGGAATCGAGACTCATCTCGAGTTGATTTGGGGCACATGAAGCTGCTTTGCTTTGCAGGGGTGACGTCAGGGTCCGTCTAGACTTGTGACAGTGTTCTTGGGGACTTTCTCGAGATCCATTAAGCAATTTGAATCTCCTGCTTGTTTGATGGGGATCACGGAATTGCTCTGCCTGCACTGCACGGGAATCGGGCCTCATCTCGCATCTAGGGGGAAGTCTCATGGTTTTTCTCGAGTTGCGGCGGGGATATGCGGTATGTTCTCGAGTTACGGCGGGGATGGCCTTTCTAAACACATGTTTATTCAGTGACGTCAGGACTCCTGTCTAGTAACGTGGGACACCTCAGGAATCTCTTCGAGGCTTGGCAGGGCACAAGGGACTCTTCTCGAAGTGAGGAAGTGTACCCAAGGACACTTTCCAGTAGCCACAGGGATTTTGGGATTCCTATCAATATTCAAGAGGAGTCAGGCATCCTCACCTTTTGAAGCAGTGAACTCTGCGTGCCTCTCGAGGTGTCAACTTGATGTGAGGCATTCCGTCATAATGAGGCAGGGACCTAGGGCTTTCTCTAAGGTCTCCACAGGGGATTCAGACATCCCTTCATGTTGGGAGATGAAAGACGAGCCTGTATTCAAGCCACTGCAAGGAAACCCGGCCTCCTTTCAATTAGGGCTTCTCGCTGTATATAACATTTGAGGCAGCAAACTCGGGGTCCCTACCACATACCTATTGCTGAAAGAAGCCTCCCCTTGAGGTGCTTTTGGAAAGTTGGCATACGTCTTGAGCCTAAGCCAGGGAATCACCTCTCATCTCGAGAGGATTTGGGGTATATAGAGCATTCTTCGAGTTGCTGTGCTGAAGTTGGTGTTCCTCTAGACTTGGGACAGTGTTCTCGGTGCATCTCTGAGTTGCCTGAAGTAAGTCAAGCCACTGGTCGTGTTTAATCGGGAACGGGATATGGCTCTGCAGTCAACGCAGGGGAATCGGGCCTCATCTCGAGTTGATTTGGGGCACATGGAGCTGCTTTGCGTTGCGGGGGTGACCTCAGGGTCCGTCTAGACTTGTGACAGTGATCTTGGGGACTGTCTCGAGATGCATTAAGCAAGTCGAAGCTCGTGACGTGTTTGATGGGCATCACCGAATTGCTCTGCGTGCACTGCAGGGGAATCGGGCCTCATCTCACATCTAGGGGGAAGTCTCATGATTTTCCTCGATTTGCAGCGGGGAATGCACTATGTTCTCGAGTTACGGCGGGGATTGCCCTTCAAAACTCGTGTTTATTCAGTGACGTCAGGACTCCTGTCTAGTAACGAGGGACACCACAGAAATCTCTTTGAGGACTGGCAGGGCACGAAGGACGCTTCTCGAGGTGAGGCAGTGCACCCAAGGAAACTTTCCAGTAGCCACAGAGATTTTGGGATTTCTACCAATATTCACGATGAGTCAGGCTACGTTACCTTTTGAAGCAGTGAACTCCGCGTGCCTCTCGAGGTGTCAACGGGATGTGAGGCATTCCATCCTAATAAGGCAGGGACCTAGGGCTTTCTCTAAGGTCTCCACAGGGGATTCAGACATCCCTTCACGTTGGGGGATGAAAGACGAGCCTGTATTCAAGCCACTGCAAGGAAACCCGGCCTCCTTTCAAGTTAGGGCTTCTCCCTGTATATCCCACTTGAGGCAGCAAACTCGGGGCCCCTCCCACATACCTATTGCTGAGAGAAGCCTCCCCTTGAGGTGCTTCCGGAAAGTTGGCATACGTCTTGACCCAAAGCCACGGAATCAGCTCTCATCTCGAGACGATTTGGGGTACACGGAGCATTCCTCGAGTTGCTGTGCCAAAGTTGGTGTTCCTCTGGACTTGGGACAGTGTTCTCGGGGCATCTCTGGAGTTGCCTGAAGGAAGTCAAGCCACTGGTCGTGTTTAATGGGAAACGGGGGATGTCTCTGGAGTCAACGCAGGGGAATTGGGCCTCATCTCGAGTTGATTTGGGGCACATGGAGCTGCTTTGCGTTGCAGGGGTGACCTCAGGGTCCGTCTAGACTTGTGACAGTGATCTTGGGGACTGTCTCGAGATGCATTAAGCAAGTCGAAGCTCCTCACTTGTTTGATGGGGATCACGGAATTGCTCTGCATGTACTGCAGGGGAACCGGCCTCATCTCGAATCTAGGGGGAAGTCTCATGGTTTTTCTCGAGTTGCGGCGGGGATCTGCGGTATGTTCCCGAGTTACGGCGGGGATGGCCTTTCAAAACACATGTTTATTCAGTGACGTCAGGACTCCTGTCTAGTAACATGGGACACCTCAGGAATCTCTTCGAGGCTTGGCAGGGCACAAGGGACTCTTCTCGAAGTGAGGAAGTGCACCCAAGTACCCTTTCCAGTAGCCACAGGAATTTTGGGATTCCTATCAATATTCAAGAGGAGTCAGGCATCCTCACCTTTTGAAGCAGTGACCTCTGCGTGCCTCTCGAGGTGTCAACGGGATGTGAGGATTTCCGTCAACATGAGGCAGGGACCTAGGGCTTTCTCTAAGGTCTCCACAGGGGATTCAGACATACCTTCATGTTGGGAGATGAAAGACGAGCCTGTATTCAACCCACTGCAAGGAAACCTGGCCTCCTTCAGGTTAGGGCTTCTCACTGTATATTCCACTTGAGGCAGCAAATTCGGGGTCCCTCCCACATACCTATTGCTGAGAGAAGCCTCCCCTTGAGGTGCTTCCGGAAAGTTGGCATTCGTCTTGACCCAAAGCCACGGAATCAGCTCTCATCTCGAGACGATTTGGGGTACATGGAGCGTTCCTCGAGTTGCTGTGCTGAAGTTGGTGTTCCTCTAGACTTGGGACAGTGTTCTCAGGGCATCTCTGGAGTTGCCTGAAGGAAGTCAACCACTGGTCGTGTTTAATGGGGAACGGGGGATGGCTCTGGAGTCAACGCAGGGGAATCGGGCCTCATCTCGAGTTGATTTGGGGCACATGGAGCTGCTTTGCGTTGCTGGGGTGACCTCAGGGTCCATCTAGACTTGTGACAGTGTTCTTGGGGACTGTCTCGAGATCCATTAAGCAAGTGGAAGCTCCTGACTTGTTTGATGGGAATCACGGAATTGCTCTGCGTGCACTGCGGGGTATCGGACCTCATCTCACATATAGCGGGAAGTCTCATGATTTTTCTCGATTTGTGGTGGGGACCTGCGGTATGTTCTCGAGTTACGGCGGGGATTGCCCTTCAAAACACATGTTTATTCAGTGACGTCAGGACTCCTGTCTGCTAACGAGGGACACCTCAGGAATCTCTTTGAGACCTGGCAGGGCAAAAGGGACGCTTCTCGAGGTGAGGCAGGGCACTCAAGGACCCTTTCCAGCAGCCACAGGGATTTTGGGATTCCTATCAGTATTCAAGAGGAGTCAGGCATCGTCACCTTTTGAAGCAGTGAACTCCGCGTGCCTCTCGAGGTGTCAACAGGATGTGAGGCATTCCGTCAAAATGAGGCAGGGACCTAGGGCTTTCTCTAAGGTCTCCACAGGGGATTCAGACATCGCTTTACGTTGGGAGATGAAAGACGAACCTGTATTCAAGCCACTGCAAGGAATCCCGGCCTCCTTTCAAGTTAGGGCTTCTCGCTGTATATCCCACTTGAGGCAGCAAACTCGGGGCCCCTCCCACATAACTATTGCTGAAAGAAGCCTCCCCTTGAGGTGCTTCTGGAATGTTGGCATACGTCTTGAGCCTAAGCCAGGTAATCGGCTCTCATCTCGAGATGATTTGGGGTACACAGAGCATTCCTCGAGTTGCTGTGCTGAAGTTGGTGTTCCTCTAGACTAGGGACAGTGTTCTCGGGGCATCTCTGGAGTTGCCTGAAGGAAATCAAGCCACTGGGCGTGTTTAATGGGGAACGGGGGATGGCTCTGGAGTCAACGCAGCGGAATCGGGCCTCATCTCGAGTTGATTTGGGGCACATGGAGCTGCTTTGCATTCCAGCGGTGACCTCAGGGTGCGTCTAGACTTGTGACAGTGTTCTTGGGGACTGTCTCGAGATGCATTAAGCAAGTCGAAGCTCCTCACTTGTTTGATGGGGATCACGGAATTGCTCTGCATGTACTGCAGGGGAACCGGCCCTCATATCGCATCTAGGGGGAAGTCTCATGGTTTTTTTCGATTTGCGGTGGGGACCTGCGGTATGTTCTCGAGTTACGGCGGGGATTGCCCTTCAAAACTCGTGTTTATTCAGTGATGTCAGGACTCCTGTCTAGTAACGAGGGACACCTCAGTAATCTCTTCGAGGACTGGCAGGGCATGAGGGACGCTTCTCGAGGTGAAGCAGTGCACCCAATGACCCTTTCCAGTAGCCACAGAGATTTTGGGATTTCTACCAATATTCACCATGAGTCTGGCTACGTTACCTTTTGAAGCAGTGAACTCCGCCTGCCTCTCGAGGTGTCAACGGGATGTTGGGCATTCCGTCATAATGTTGCAGGGACCTAGGGCTTTCTCTAAGGTCTCCACATGGGACTCAGACATCCCTTCATGTTGTGAGATGAAAGATGAGCCTGTATTCAAGCCACTGCAAGGAAACCCGGCCTCCTTTCAAGTTAGGGCTTCTCCCTGTATATCCCACTTGAGGCAGCAAACTCGTTGCCCCTCCCACATACCTATTGCTGAAAGAAGCCTCCCCTCGAGGTGCTTCTGGAAAGTTGGCATACGTCTTGAGCCTAAGCCAGGGAATCAGCTCTCATCTCGAGACGATTTGGGGTACACAGAGCATTCCTCGAGTTGCTGTGCTGAAGTTGGTGTTCCTCTAGACTAGGGACAGTGTTCTCGGGGCATCTCTGGAGTTGCCTGAAGGAAATCAAGCCACTGGGCGTGTTGAATGGGGAACGGGGGATGGCTCTGGAGTCAACGCAGCAGAATCGGGCCTCATCTCGAGTTGATTTGGGGCACATGGAGCTGCTTTGCATTGCAGGGGTGACCTCAGGGTGCGTCTAGACTTGTGACAGTGTTCTTGGGGACGGTCTCGAGATGCATTAAGCAAGTCGAAGCTCCTCACTTGTTTGATGGGGATCACGGAATTGCTCTGCATGTACTGCAGGGGAACCGGCCTCATCTCGAATCTAGGGGGAAGTCTCATGGTTTTTCTCGAGTTGCGGCGGGGATCTGCGGTATGTTCCCGAGTTACGGCGGGGATGGCCTTTCAAAACACATGTTTATTCAGTGACGTCAGGACTCCTGTCTAGTAACATGGGACACCTCAGGAATCTCTTCGAGGCTTGGCAGGGCACAAGGGACTCTTCTCGAAGTGAGGAAGTGCACCCAAGTACCCTTTCCAGTAGCCACAGGAATTTTGGGATTCCTATCAATATTCAAGAGGAGTCAGGCATCCTCACCTTTTGAAGCAGTGACCTCTGCGTGCCTCTCGAGGTGTCAATGGGATGTGAGGCTTTCCGTCAACATGAGGCAGGGACCTAGGGCTTTCTCTAAGGTCTCCACAGGGGATTCAGACATACCTTCATGTTGGGAGATGAAAGACGAGCCTGTATTCAACCCACTGCAAGGAAACCTGGCCTCCTTCAGGTTAGGGCTTCTCACTGTATATTCCACTTGAGGCAGCAAATTCGGGGTCCCTCCCACATACCTATTGCTGAGAGAAGCCTCCCCTTGAGGTGCTTCCGGAAAGTTGGCATTCGTCTTGACCCAAAGCCACGGAATCAGCTCTCATCTCGAGACGATTTGGGGTACACGGAGCGTTCCTCGAGTTGCTGTGCTGAAGTTGGTGTTCCTCTAGACTTGGGACAGTGTTCTCGGGGCATCTCTGGAGTTGCCTGAAGGAAGTCAAGCCACTGGTCTTGTTTAATGGGGAACGGGGGATGGCTCTGGGGTCAACGCAGGGGAATCGGGCCTCATCTCGAGTTGATTTGGGGCACATGGAGCTGCTTTGGGTTGCAGGGGTGACCTCAGGGTCCGTCTAGACTTGTGACAGTGTTCTTGGGGACTGTCTCGAGATCCATTAAGCAAGTCGAAGCTCCTGACTTGATTGATGGGGATCACGGAATTGCTCTGCGTGCACTGCAGGGGAATCGGGCCTCATCTCACATCTAGGGCGAAGTCTCATGGTTTTTTTCGATTTGCGGTGGGGACCTGCGGTATGTTCTCAAGTTACGGAGGGGATTGCCCTTCAAAACTCGTGTTTATTCAGTGATGTCAGGACTCCTGTCTAGTAACGAGGGACACCTCAGTAATCTCTTCGAGGACTGGCAGGGCATGAGGGACGCTTCTCGAGGTGAGGCAGTGCACCCAATGACCCTTTCCAGTAGCCACAGAGATTTTGGGATTTCTACCAATATTCACCATGAGTCTGGCTACGTTACCTTTTGAAGCAGTGAACTCCGCGTGCCTCTCGAGGTGTCAACAGGATGTGAGGCATTCCGTCATAATGTCGCAGGGACCTAGGGCTTTCTCTAAGGTCTGCACAGGGGATTCAGACATCCCTTCATGTTGTGAGATGAAAGATGAGCCTCTATTCAAGCCACTGCAAGGAAACCCGGCCTCCTTTCAAGTTAGGGCTTCTCACTCTATATCCCACTTGAGGCAGCAAACTCGTTGCCCCTCCCACATACCTATTGCTGAACGAAGCCTCCCCTTGAGGTGCTTCTGGAAAGTTGGCATACCTCTTGAGCCTAAGCCAGGGAATCAGCTCTCATCTCGAGACGATTTGGGGTACACGGAGCATTCCTCGAGTTGCTGTGCTGAAGTTGGTGTTCCTCTAGACTTGGGACAGTGTTCTCGGGGCATCTCTGGAGTTGCCTGAAGGAAATCAAGCCACTGGTCATGTTTATTGGGGAACGGGGGATGGCTCTGGTGTCAATGCAGGGGAATCGAGACTCATCTCGAGTTGATTTGGGGCACATGAAGCTGCTTTGCTTTGCAGGGGTGACGTCAGGGTCCGTCTAGACTTGTGACAGTGTTCTTGGGGACTTTCTCGAGATCCATTAAGCAATTTGAATCTCCTGCTTGTTTGATGGGGATCACGGAATTGCTCTGCCTGCACTGCACGGGAATCGGGCCTCATCTCGCATCTAGGGGGAAGTCTCATGGTTTTTCTCGAGTTGCGGCGGGGATATGCGGTATGTTCTCGAGTTACGGCGGGGATGGCCTTTCTAAACACATGTTTATTCAGTGACGTCAGGACTCCTGTCTAGTAACGTGGGACACCTCAGGAATCTCTTCGAGGCTTGGCAGGGCACAAGGGACTCTTCTCGAAGTGAGGAAGTGTACCCAAGGACACTTTCCAGTAGCCACAGGGATTTTGGGATTCCTATCAATATTCAAGAGGAGTCAGGCATCCTCACCTTTTGAAGCAGTGAACTCTGCGTGCCTCTCGAGGTGTCAACTTGATGTGAGGCATTCCGTCATAATGAGGCAGGGACCTAGGGCTTTCTCTAAGGTCTCCACAGGGGATTCAGACATCCCTTCATGTTGGGAGATGAAAGACGAGCCTGTATTCAAGCCACTGCAAGGAAACCCGGCCTCCTTTCAATTAGGGCTTCTCGCTGTATATAACATTTGAGGCAGCAAACTCGGGGTCCCTACCACATACCTATTGCTGAAAGAAGCCTCCCCTTGAGGTGCTTTTGGAAAGTTGGCATACGTCTTGAGCCTAAGCCAGGGAATCACCTCTCATCTCGAGAGGATTTGGGGTATATAGAGCATTCTTCGAGTTGCTGTGCTGAAGTTGGTGTTCCTCTAGACTTGGGACAGTGTTCTCGGTGCATCTCTGAGTTGCCTGAAGTAAGTCAAGCCACTGGTCGTGTTTAATCGGGAACGGGATATGGCTCTGCAGTCAACGCAGGGGAATCGGGCCTCATCTCGAGTTGATTTGGGGCACATGGAGCTGCTTTGCGTTGCGGGGGTGACCTCAGGGTCCGTCTAGACTTGTGACAGTGATCTTGGGGACTGTCTCGAGATGCATTAAGCAAGTCGAAGCTCGTGACGTGTTTGATGGGCATCACCGAATTGCTCTGCGTGCACTGCAGGGGAATCGGGCCTCATCTCACATCTAGGGGGAAGTCTCATGATTTTCCTCGATTTGCAGCGGGGAATGCACTATGTTCTCGAGTTACGGCGGGGATTGCCCTTCAAAACTCGTGTTTATTCAGTGACGTCAGGACTCCTGTCTAGTAACGAGGGACACCACAGAAATCTCTTTGAGGACTGGCAGGGCACGAAGGACGCTTCTCGAGGTGAGGCAGTGCACCCAAGGAAACTTTCCAGTAGCCACAGAGATTTTGGGATTTCTACCAATATTCACGATGAGTCAGGCTACGTTACCTTTTGAAGCAGTGAACTCCGCGTGCCTCTCGAGGTGTCAACGGGATGTGAGGCATTCCATCCTAATAAGGCAGGGACCTAGGGCTTTCTCTAAGGTCTCCACAGGGGATTCAGACATCCCTTCACGTTGGGGGATGAAAGACGAGCCTGTATTCAAGCCACTGCAAGGAAACCCGGCCTCCTTTCAAGTTAGGGCTTCTCCCTGTATATCCCACTTGAGGCAGCAAACTCGGGGCCCCTCCCACATACCTATTGCTGAGAGAAGCCTCCCCTTGAGGTGCTTCCGGAAAGTTGGCATACGTCTTGACCCAAAGCCACGGAATCAGCTCTCATCTCGAGACGATTTGGGGTACACGGAGCATTCCTCGAGTTGCTGTGCCAAAGTTGGTGTTCCTCTGGACTTGGGACAGTGTTCTCGGGGCATCTCTGGAGTTGCCTGAAGGAAGTCAAGCCACTGGTCGTGTTTAATGGGAAACGGGGGATGTCTCTGGAGTCAACGCAGGGGAATTGGGCCTCATCTCGAGTTGATTTGGGGCACATGGAGCTGCTTTGCGTTGCAGGGGTGACCTCAGGGTCCGTCTAGACTTGTGACAGTGATCTTGGGGACTGTCTCGAGATGCATTAAGCAAGTCGAAGCTCCTCACTTGTTTGATGGGGATCACGGAATTGCTCTGCATGTACTGCAGGGGAACCGGCCTCATCTCGAATCTAGGGGGAAGTCTCATGGTTTTTCTCGAGTTGCGGCGGGGATCTGCGGTATGTTCCCGAGTTACGGCGGGGATGGCCTTTCAAAACACATGTTTATTCAGTGACGTCAGGACTCCTGTCTAGTAACATGGGACACCTCAGGAATCTCTTCGAGGCTTGGCAGGGCACAAGGGACTCTTCTCGAAGTGAGGAAGTGCACCCAAGTACCCTTTCCAGTAGCCACAGGAATTTTGGGATTCCTATCAATATTCAAGAGGAGTCAGGCATCCTCACCTTTTGAAGCAGTGACCTCTGCGTGCCTCTCGAGGTGTCAACGGGATGTGAGGATTTCCGTCAACATGAGGCAGGGACCTAGGGCTTTCTCTAAGGTCTCCACAGGGGATTCAGACATACCTTCATGTTGGGAGATGAAAGACGAGCCTGTATTCAACCCACTGCAAGGAAACCTGGCCTCCTTCAGGTTAGGGCTTCTCACTGTATATTCCACTTGAGGCAGCAAATTCGGGGTCCCTCCCACATACCTATTGCTGAGAGAAGCCTCCCCTTGAGGTGCTTCCGGAAAGTTGGCATTCGTCTTGACCCAAAGCCACGGAATCAGCTCTCATCTCGAGACGATTTGGGGTACATGGAGCGTTCCTCGAGTTGCTGTGCTGAAGTTGGTGTTCCTCTAGACTTGGGACAGTGTTCTCAGGGCATCTCTGGAGTTGCCTGAAGGAAGTCAACCACTGGTCGTGTTTAATGGGGAACGGGGGATGGCTCTGGAGTCAACGCAGGGGAATCGGGCCTCATCTCGAGTTGATTTGGGGCACATGGAGCTGCTTTGCGTTGCTGGGGTGACCTCAGGGTCCATCTAGACTTGTGACAGTGTTCTTGGGGACTGTCTCGAGATCCATTAAGCAAGTGGAAGCTCCTGACTTGTTTGATGGGAATCACGGAATTGCTCTGCGTGCACTGCGGGGTATCGGACCTCATCTCACATATAGCGGGAAGTCTCATGATTTTTCTCGATTTGTGGTGGGGACCTGCGGTATGTTCTCGAGTTACGGCGGGGATTGCCCTTCAAAACACATGTTTATTCAGTGACGTCAGGACTCCTGTCTGCTAACGAGGGACACCTCAGGAATCTCTTTGAGACCTGGCAGGGCAAAAGGGACGCTTCTCGAGGTGAGGCAGGGCACTCAAGGACCCTTTCCAGCAGCCACAGGGATTTTGGGATTCCTATCAGTATTCAAGAGGAGTCAGGCATCGTCACCTTTTGAAGCAGTGAACTCCGCGTGCCTCTCGAGGTGTCAACAGGATGTGAGGCATTCCGTCAAAATGAGGCAGGGACCTAGGGCTTTCTCTAAGGTCTCCACAGGGGATTCAGACATCGCTTTACGTTGGGAGATGAAAGACGAACCTGTATTCAAGCCACTGCAAGGAATCCCGGCCTCCTTTCAAGTTAGGGCTTCTCGCTGTATATCCCACTTGAGGCAGCAAACTCGGGGCCCCTCCCACATAACTATTGCTGAAAGAAGCCTCCCCTTGAGGTGCTTCTGGAATGTTGGCATACGTCTTGAGCCTAAGCCAGGTAATCGGCTCTCATCTCGAGATGATTTGGGGTACACAGAGCATTCCTCGAGTTGCTGTGCTGAAGTTGGTGTTCCTCTAGACTAGGGACAGTGTTCTCGGGGCATCTCTGGAGTTGCCTGAAGGAAATCAAGCCACTGGGCGTGTTTAATGGGGAACGGGGGATGGCTCTGGAGTCAACGCAGCGGAATCGGGCCTCATCTCGAGTTGATTTGGGGCACATGGAGCTGCTTTGCATTCCAGCGGTGACCTCAGGGTGCGTCTAGACTTGTGACAGTGTTCTTGGGGACTGTCTCGAGATGCATTAAGCAAGTCGAAGCTCCTCACTTGTTTGATGGGGATCACGGAATTGCTCTGCATGTACTGCAGGGGAACCGGCCCTCATATCGCATCTAGGGGGAAGTCTCATGGTTTTTTTCGATTTGCGGTGGGGACCTGCGGTATGTTCTCGAGTTACGGCGGGGATTGCCCTTCAAAACTCGTGTTTATTCAGTGATGTCAGGACTCCTGTCTAGTAACGAGGGACACCTCAGTAATCTCTTCGAGGACTGGCAGGGCATGAGGGACGCTTCTCGAGGTGAAGCAGTGCACCCAATGACCCTTTCCAGTAGCCACAGAGATTTTGGGATTTCTACCAATATTCACCATGAGTCTGGCTACGTTACCTTTTGAAGCAGTGAACTCCGCCTGCCTCTCGAGGTGTCAACGGGATGTTGGGCATTCCGTCATAATGTTGCAGGGACCTAGGGCTTTCTCTAAGGTCTCCACATGGGACTCAGACATCCCTTCATGTTGTGAGATGAAAGATGAGCCTGTATTCAAGCCACTGCAAGGAAACCCGGCCTCCTTTCAAGTTAGGGCTTCTCCCTGTATATCCCACTTGAGGCAGCAAACTCGTTGCCCCTCCCACATACCTATTGCTGAAAGAAGCCTCCCCTCGAGGTGCTTCTGGAAAGTTGGCATACGTCTTGAGCCTAAGCCAGGGAATCAGCTCTCATCTCGAGACGATTTGGGGTACACAGAGCATTCCTCGAGTTGCTGTGCTGAAGTTGGTGTTCCTCTAGACTAGGGACAGTGTTCTCGGGGCATCTCTGGAGTTGCCTGAAGGAAATCAAGCCACTGGGCGTGTTGAATGGGGAACGGGGGATGGCTCTGGAGTCAACGCAGCAGAATCGGGCCTCATCTCGAGTTGATTTGGGGCACATGGAGCTGCTTTGCATTGCAGGGGTGACCTCAGGGTGCGTCTAGACTTGTGACAGTGTTCTTGGGGACGGTCTCGAGATGCATTAAGCAAGTCGAAGCTCCTCACTTGTTTGATGGGGATCACGGAATTGCTCTGCATGTACTGCAGGGGAACCGGCCTCATCTCGAATCTAGGGGGAAGTCTCATGGTTTTTCTCGAGTTGCGGCGGGGATCTGCGGTATGTTCCCGAGTTACGGCGGGGATGGCCTTTCAAAACACATGTTTATTCAGTGACGTCAGGACTCCTGTCTAGTAACATGGGACACCTCAGGAATCTCTTCGAGGCTTGGCAGGGCACAAGGGACTCTTCTCGAAGTGAGGAAGTGCACCCAAGTACCCTTTCCAGTAGCCACAGGAATTTTGGGATTCCTATCAATATTCAAGAGGAGTCAGGCATCCTCACCTTTTGAAGCAGTGACCTCTGCGTGCCTCTCGAGGTGTCAATGGGATGTGAGGCTTTCCGTCAACATGAGGCAGGGACCTAGGGCTTTCTCTAAGGTCTCCACAGGGGATTCAGACATACCTTCATGTTGGGAGATGAAAGACGAGCCTGTATTCAACCCACTGCAAGGAAACCTGGCCTCCTTCAGGTTAGGGCTTCTCACTGTATATTCCACTTGAGGCAGCAAATTCGGGGTCCCTCCCACATACCTATTGCTGAGAGAAGCCTCCCCTTGAGGTGCTTCCGGAAAGTTGGCATTCGTCTTGACCCAAAGCCACGGAATCAGCTCTCATCTCGAGACGATTTGGGGTACACGGAGCGTTCCTCGAGTTGCTGTGCTGAAGTTGGTGTTCCTCTAGACTTGGGACAGTGTTCTCGGGGCATCTCTGGAGTTGCCTGAAGGAAGTCAAGCCACTGGTCTTGTTTAATGGGGAACGGGGGATGGCTCTGGGGTCAACGCAGGGGAATCGGGCCTCATCTCGAGTTGATTTGGGGCACATGGAGCTGCTTTGGGTTGCAGGGGTGACCTCAGGGTCCGTCTAGACTTGTGACAGTGTTCTTGGGGACTGTCTCGAGATCCATTAAGCAAGTCGAAGCTCCTGACTTGATTGATGGGGATCACGGAATTGCTCTGCGTGCACTGCAGGGGAATCGGGCCTCATCTCACATCTAGGGCGAAGTCTCATGGTTTTTTTCGATTTGCGGTGGGGACCTGCGGTATGTTCTCAAGTTACGGAGGGGATTGCCCTTCAAAACTCGTGTTTATTCAGTGATGTCAGGACTCCTGTCTAGTAACGAGGGACACCTCAGTAATCTCTTCGAGGACTGGCAGGGCATGAGGGACGCTTCTCGAGGTGAGGCAGTGCACCCAATGACCCTTTCCAGTAGCCACAGAGATTTTGGGATTTCTACCAATATTCACCATGAGTCTGGCTACGTTACCTTTTGAAGCAGTGAACTCCGCGTGCCTCTCGAGGTGTCAACAGGATGTGAGGCATTCCGTCATAATGTCGCAGGGACCTAGGGCTTTCTCTAAGGTCTGCACAGGGGATTCAGACATCCCTTCATGTTGTGAGATGAAAGATGAGCCTCTATTCAAGCCACTGCAAGGAAACCCGGCCTCCTTTCAAGTTAGGGCTTCTCACTCTATATCCCACTTGAGGCAGCAAACTCGTTGCCCCTCCCACATACCTATTGCTGAACGAAGCCTCCCCTTGAGGTGCTTCTGGAAAGTTGGCATACCTCTTGAGCCTAAGCCAGGGAATCAGCTCTCATCTCGAGACGATTTGGGGTACACGGAGCATTCCTCGAGTTGCTGTGCTGAAGTTGGTGTTCCTCTAGACTTGGGACAGTGTTCTCGGGGCATCTCTGGAGTTGCCTGAAGGAAATCAAGCCACTGGTCATGTTTATTGGGGAACGGGGGATGGCTCTGGTGTCAATGCAGGGGAATCGAGACTCATCTCGAGTTGATTTGGGGCACATGAAGCTGCTTTGCTTTGCAGGGGTGACGTCAGGGTCCGTCTAGACTTGTGACAGTGTTCTTGGGGACTTTCTCGAGATCCATTAAGCAATTTGAATCTCCTGCTTGTTTGATGGGGATCACGGAATTGCTCTGCCTGCACTGCACGGGAATCGGGCCTCATCTCGCATCTAGGGGGAAGTCTCATGGTTTTTCTCGAGTTGCGGCGGGGATATGCGGTATGTTCTCGAGTTACGGCGGGGATGGCCTTTCTAAACACATGTTTATTCAGTGACGTCAGGACTCCTGTCTAGTAACGTGGGACACCTCAGGAATCTCTTCGAGGCTTGGCAGGGCACAAGGGACTCTTCTCGAAGTGAGGAAGTGTACCCAAGGACACTTTCCAGTAGCCACAGGGATTTTGGGATTCCTATCAATATTCAAGAGGAGTCAGGCATCCTCACCTTTTGAAGCAGTGAACTCTGCGTGCCTCTCGAGGTGTCAACTTGATGTGAGGCATTCCGTCATAATGAGGCAGGGACCTAGGGCTTTCTCTAAGGTCTCCACAGGGGATTCAGACATCCCTTCATGTTGGGAGATGAAAGACGAGCCTGTATTCAAGCCACTGCAAGGAAACCCGGCCTCCTTTCAATTAGGGCTTCTCGCTGTATATAACATTTGAGGCAGCAAACTCGGGGTCCCTACCACATACCTATTGCTGAAAGAAGCCTCCCCTTGAGGTGCTTTTGGAAAGTTGGCATACGTCTTGAGCCTAAGCCAGGGAATCACCTCTCATCTCGAGAGGATTTGGGGTATATAGAGCATTCTTCGAGTTGCTGTGCTGAAGTTGGTGTTCCTCTAGACTTGGGACAGTGTTCTCGGTGCATCTCTGAGTTGCCTGAAGTAAGTCAAGCCACTGGTCGTGTTTAATCGGGAACGGGATATGGCTCTGCAGTCAACGCAGGGGAATCGGGCCTCATCTCGAGTTGATTTGGGGCACATGGAGCTGCTTTGCGTTGCGGGGGTGACCTCAGGGTCCGTCTAGACTTGTGACAGTGATCTTGGGGACTGTCTCGAGATGCATTAAGCAAGTCGAAGCTCGTGACGTGTTTGATGGGCATCACCGAATTGCTCTGCGTGCACTGCAGGGGAATCGGGCCTCATCTCACATCTAGGGGGAAGTCTCATGATTTTCCTCGATTTGCAGCGGGGAATGCACTATGTTCTCGAGTTACGGCGGGGATTGCCCTTCAAAACTCGTGTTTATTCAGTGACGTCAGGACTCCTGTCTAGTAACGAGGGACACCTCAGAAATCTCTTTGAGGACTGGCAGGGCACGAAGGACGCTTCTCGAGGTGAGGCAGTGCACCCAAGGAAACTTTCCAGTAGCCACAGAGATTTTGGGATTTCTACCAATATTCACGATGAGTCAGGCTACGTTACCTTTTGAAGCAGTGAACTCCGCGTGCCTCTCGAGGTGTCAACGGGATGTGAGGCATTCCATCCTAATAAGGCAGGGACCTAGGGCTTTCTCTAAGGTCTCCACAGGGGATTCAGACATCCCTTCACGTTGGGAGATGAAAGACGAGCCTGTATTCAAGCCACTGCAAGGAAACCCGGCCTCCTTTCAAGTTAGGGCTTCTCCCTGTATATCCCACTTGAGGCAGCAAACTCGGGGCCCCTCCCACATACCTATTGCTGAGAGAAGCCTCCCCTTGAGGTGCTTCCGGAAAGTTGGCATACGTCTTGACCCAAAGCCACGGAATCAGCTCTCATCTCGAGACGATTTGGGGTACACGGAGCATTCCTCGAGTTGCTGTGCCAAAGTTGGTGTTCCTCTGGATTTGGGACAGTGTTCTCGGGGCATCTCTGGAGTTGCCTGAAGGAAGTCAAGCCACTGGTCGTGTTTAATGGGAAACGGGGGATGTCTCTGGAGTCAACGCAGGGGAATTGGGCCTCATCTCGAGTTGATTTGGGGCACATGGAGCTGCTTTGCGTTGCAGGGGTGACCTCAGGGTCCGTCTAGACTTGTGACAGTGATCTTGGGGACTGTCTCGAGATGCATTAAGCAAGTCAAAGCTCCTGACTTGTTTGATGGGGATCACGGAATTGCTCTGCGTGCACTGCAGTGGAATCGGGCCTCATCTCACATCTAGGGGGAAGTCTCATGGTTTTCCTCGAGTTGCAGTGGGGACCTGCAGTATGTTCTCGAGTTACGGCGGGGATTGCCCTTCAAAACTCGTGTTTATTCAGTGACGTCAGGACTCCTGTCTAGTAACGAGGGTCACCTCAGTAGTCTCTTTGAGGACTGGCAGGGCACGAGGGACGCTTCTCCAGGTGAGGCAGTGCACCCAAGGAAAATTTAGTAGCCACAGAGATTTTGGGATTTCTACCAATATTCACGATGTGTCAGGCTACGTTACCTTTTGAAGCAGTGAACTCCACGTGCCTCTCGAGGTGTGAATGGGATGTGAGGTATTCCGTCATAATAGGCAGGGACCTAGGGCTTTCTCTAAGGTCTCCACAGGGGATTCAGGCATACCTTCACGTTCGGAGATGAAAGACGAGCCTGTATTCAAGCCACTGCAAGGAAACCCGGCCTCCTTTCAAGTTAGAGCTTCTCGCTGTATATCCCACTTGAGGCAGCAAACTCGGGGCCCCTCCCATATACCTATTGCTGAGAGAAGCCTCCCCTTGAGGTGCTTCCGGAAAGTTGGCATATGTCTTGACCCAAAGCCACGGAATCAGCTCTCATCTCGAGACGATTTGGGGTACACGGAGCATTCCTCGAGTTGCTGTGCTGAAGTTGGTGTTCCTCTAGACTTGGGACAGTGTTCTCAGGGCATCTCTGGAGTTGCCTGAAGGAAGTCAACCACTGGTCGTGTTTAATGGGGAACGGGGGATGGCTCTGGAGTCAACGCAGGGGAATCGGGCCTCATCTCGAGTTGATTTGGGGCACATGGAGCTGCTTTGCGTTGCTGGGGTGACCTCAGGGTCCATCTAGACTTGTGACAGTGTTCTTGGGGACTGTCTCGAGATCCATTAAGCAAGTGGAAGCTCCTGACTTGTTTGATGGGAATCACGGAATTGCTCTGCGTGCACTGCGGGGTATCGGACCTCATCTCACATATAGCGGGAAGTCTCATGATTTTTCTCGATTTGTGGTGGGGACCTGCGGTATGTTCTCGAGTTACGGCGGGGATTGCCCTTCAAAACACATGTTTATTCAGTGACGTCAGGACTCCTGTCTGCTAACGAGGGACACCTCAGGAATCTCTTTGAGACCTGGCAGGGCAAAAGGGACGCTTCTCGAGGTGAGGCAGGGCACTCAAGGACCCTTTCCAGCAGCCACAGGGATTTTGGGATTCCTATCAGTATTCAAGAGGAGTCAGGCATCGTCACCTTTTGAAGCAGTGAACTCCGCGTGCCTCTCGAGGTGTCAACAGGATGTGAGGCATTCCGTCAAAATGAGGCAGGGACCTAGGGCTTTCTCTAAGGTCTCCACAGGGGATTCAGACATCGCTTTACGTTGGGAGATGAAAGACGAACCTGTATTCAAGCCACTGCAAGGAATCCCGGCCTCCTTTCAAGTTAGGGCTTCTCGCTGTATATCCCACTTGAGGCAGCAAACTCGGGGCCCCTCCCACATAACTATTGCTGAAAGAAGCCTCCCCTTGAGGTGCTTCTGGAATGTTGGCATACGTCTTGAGCCTAAGCCAGGTAATCGGCTCTCATCTCGAGACGATTTGGGGTACACAGAGCATTCCTCGAGTTGCTGTGCTGAAGTTGGTGTTCCTCTAGACTAGGGACAGTGTTCTCGGGGCATCTCTGGAGTTGCCTGAAGGAAATCAAGCCACTGGGCGTGTTTAATGGGGAACGGGGGATGGCTCTGGAGTCAACGCAGCGGAATCGGGCCTCATCTCGAGTTGATTTGGGGCACATGGAGCTGCTTTGCATTGCAGCGGTGACCTCAGGGTGCGTCTAGACTTGTGACAGTGTTCTTGGGGACTGTCTCGAGATGCATTAAGCAAGTCGAAGCTCCTCACTTGTTTGATGGGGATCACGGAATTGCTCTGCATGTACTGCAGGGGAACCGGCCCTCATATCGCATCTAGGGGGAAGTCTCATGGTTTTTTTCGATTTGCGGTGGGGACCTGCGGTATGTTCTCGAGTTACGGCGGGGATTGCCCTTCAAAACTCGTGTTTATTCAGTGATGTCAGGACTCCTGTCTAGTAACGAGGGACACCTCAGTAATCTCTTCGAGGACTGGCAGGGCATGAGGGACGCTTCTCGAGGTGAAGCAGTGCACCCAATGACCCTTTCCAGTAGCCACAGAGATTTTGGGATTTCTACCAATATTCACCATGAGTCTGGCTACGTTACCTTTTGAAGCAGTGAACTCCGCCTGCCTCTCGAGGTGTCAACGGGATGTTGGGCATTCCGTCATAATGTCGCAGGGACCTAGGGCTTTCTCTAAGGTCTCCACATGGGACTCAGACATCCCTTCATGTTGTGAGATGAAAGATGAGCCTGTATTCAAGCCACTGCAAGGAAACCCGGCCTCCTTTCAAGTTAGGGCTTCTCCCTGTATATCCCACTTGAGGCAGCAAACTCGTTGCCCCTCCCACATACCTATTGCTGAAAGAAGCCTCCCCTCGAGGTGCTTCTGGAAAGTTGGCATACGTCTTGAGCCTAAGCCAGGGAATCAGCTCTCATCTCGAGACGATTTGGGGTACACAGAGCATTCCTCGAGTTGCTGTGCTGAAGTTGGTGTTCCTCTAGACTAGGGACAGTGTTCTCGGGGCATCTCTGGAGTTGCCTGAAGGAAATCAAGCCACTGGGCGTGTTGAATGGGGAACGGGGGATGGCTCTGGAGTCAACGCAGCAGAATCGGGCCTCATCTCGAGTTGATTTGGGGCACATGGAGCTGCTTTGCATTGCAGGGGTGACCTCAGGGTGCGTCTAGACTTGTGACAGTGTTCTTGGGGACTGTCTCGAGATGCATTAAGCAAGTCGAAGCTCCTCACTTGTTTGATGGGGATCACGGAATTGCTCTGCATGTACTGCAGGGGAACCGGCCTCATCTCGAATCTAGGGTGAAGTCTCATGGTTTTTCTCGAGTTGCGGCGGGGATCTGCGGTATGTTCCCGAGTTACGGCGGGGATGGCCTTTCAAAACACATGTTTATTCAGTGACGTCAGGACTCCTGTCTAGTAACGAGGGACACCTCAGGAATCTCTTCGAGGCTTGGCAGGGCAAAGGGACGCTTCTCGAGGTGAGGCAGGGCACCCAAGGACACTTTCCAGTAGCCACAGGGATTTTGGGATTCCTATCAGTATTCAAGAGGAGTCAGGCATCGTCACCTTTTGAAGCAGTGAAATCCGCGTGCCTCTCGAGGTGTCAACGGGATGTGAGGCATTCCGTCAAAATGAGGCAGGGACCTAGGGCTTTCTCTAAGTTCTCCTCAGCGGAATCATACGTCCCTTCCTGTTGTGAGATGAAAGACGAGCCTGTATTCAAGCCACTGCAAGGAAATCCGGCCTCCTTTCAAGTTAGGGTTTCTCCCTGTATATTCCACTTGAGGCAGCAAACTCGGGGTCCCTCCCACATACCTATTGCTGAGAGAACCCTCCTGTTGAGTTGCTTCTGGAAAGTTTTCATACGTCTTGAGCCTAAGCCATGGAATCAGCTCTCATCTCGAGACAAATTGGAGTACACGGAGCATTCCTCAAGTTGCTGTCCTGAAGTTGGTGTTCCTCTAGACTTGGGACAGTGTTCTCGGGGCATGTCTGGAGTTGCCTGAAGGAATTCAAGCCACTGGTGGTATTGAATGGGGAAGGGGGGATGGCTCTGGAGTCAATTCAGTGGAATCCGGCCTCATCTCCAGTTGATTTGGGGCACATGGATCTGCTCTGCTTTGCTGGAGTGACCTCAGGGTCTGTCTAGACTTGTGATAGTGTTCTTGGGGACTGTCTCGAGATCCATTAAGCAAGTCGAAGCTCCTGACATGTTTGATGGGGATCACGGAATAGCTCTGCATGCACTGCAGGGGAATGGGGCCTCATCTCGCCTCTAGGGGGAAGTCTCATGGTTTTTCTCAAGTTGCGGCGGGAACCTGGGGTATGTTCTCGAGTTAGGGCGGGGATGGCCCTTCAAAACACATGTTTATTCAGTGAGGTCAGGACTCCTGTCTAGTAACGAGGGACACCTCAGGAATCTCTTCGAGGCTTGGCAGGGCAAAAGGGACGCTTCTCGAGGTGAGGCAGGGGACGCACGGACCGTTTCCAGTAACCACAGGGATTTTGGGTTTCCTATCAGTATTCAAGAGGAGTCAGGCATCGTCACCTTTTGAAGCAGTGAACTCCGCGTACCTCTCGAGGTGTCAACGGGATGTGAGGCATTCCGTCAAAATGAGGCAGGGACCTAGGGCTTTCTCTAAGGTCTACACAGGGGATTCAGACATCCCTTTCTATTGGGAGATGAAAGACGAGCCTGTATTCAAGCCACTGCAAGGAAATCCGGCCTCCTTTCAAGTTTGGCCTTCTCATTTTATATTCCACTTGAGGCAGCAAACTCGGGGTCTCTCCCACATACCGATTGCTGAGAGAAGCCTCCTCTTGAGGTGCTTATGGAAAGTTGGCATACGTCTTGAGCCTAAGAAAGGAAATCAGCTCTCATCTCGACACGATTTGGGGTACACGGAGCATTCCTCGAGTTGCTGTGTTGAAGTTGGTGTTCCTCTAGACTTGGGACAGTGTTCTCGGGGCATCTCTGGAGTTGCCTGTAGGAAGTCAAGCCACTGGTGATGTTGAATGGGGAACGGGGGATGGCTCTGGAGTCAATGCAGGGGAATCGGGCCTCATCTCGAGTTGATTTGGGGCACATGGAACTGCTCTGCGTTGCTGGGGTGACCTCAGGGTCCGTCTAGACTTGTGACAGTGTTCTTGGGGACTGTCTCGGGATCCATTAAGCAAGTCGGAGCTCCTGACTTGATTTATGGGGATCACGGAATTGCTCTGCATGCACTGCAGGGGAATCGGGCCTCATCTCACATCTAGGGGGAAGTCTCATGGTTTTTTTCGATTTGCGGCGGGGATATGCGGTATGTTCTCGAGTTACGGCGGGGATTGCCCTTCAAAACTCGTGTTTATTCAGTGACCTCAGGACTCCTGTCTAGTAACGAGGGACACTTCAGTAATCTCTTCGAGGACTGGAAGGGCACATGAGACGCTTCTCGATGTGAGGAAGGGCACCCAAGGACCCTTTCCAGTAGCTACAGGGATTTGGGGATTCCTATCAATATTCAAGAGTAGTCAGGCATCTTCACCTTTTGAAGCAGTGAACTCTGCGTGCCTCTCGAGTTGTCAACGGGATGTGAGGCTTTTCGTCAAAATGAGGCAGGGACCTAGGGCTTTCTCTAAGGTCTCCACAGGGGATTCAGACATCCCTTCATGTTGGGAGATGAAAGACGAGCTGTATTCAAGCCACTTCAAGGAAACCCGGCCTCCTTTCAAGTTAGGGCTTCTCTCTGTATATCCCACTTGAGGCAGCAAACTCGGGGTCCCTACCACATACCTTTTGCTTAAAGAATCCTCCCCTTGAGGTGCTTCTGGAAAGTTGGCATACGTCTTGAGCCTAAGCCAGGGAATCAGCTCTCATCTCGAAACGATTTGGGGTACATGGAGCATTCCTTGAGTTGCTGTGCTGAAGTTGGTGTTCCTCTAGACTTGGGACAGTGTTCTCAGGGCATGTCTGGAGGTGCCTGAAGGAAGTCAAGCCACTGGTCGTGTTGAATGGGGAACGGTTGATGGCTCTGGAGTCAATGGAGTGGAATCGGGCCTTACTTCGAGTTGATTTGTGGCACATGGAGCTAGTTTGGGTTGCTGTGGTAACCTCAGGGTCCATCTAGACTTGTGACAGTGTTCTTGGGGACTGTCTCGAGATCCATTAAGGAATTCGAATCTCCAGTCTTGTTTGAGGGGGATCACGGAATTGTTCTGCATGCAGTGCAGGGGAATCGAGGCTCATCTCGCATCTATGGGGAAGTCTCATGGTTTTTTTCGAGTTGTGGCAGGGATCTGCGGTATGTTCTCGAGTTACGGCGAGGATGGCCCTTCAAAACACATGTTTATTCAGTGACGTCAGGACTCCTGTCTAGTAACGTGGGACACCTCAGGAATCTTTTCGAGCCTTGACAGGGCAAAAGGGACTCTTCTCGAGGTGGGGCAGGGAACCCAAGGACACTTTCCAGTAGCCACAGGGATTTTGCGATTCCTATCAGTATTCAAGGGGAGTCAGGCATCATCACCTTTTGAAGCAGTGAACTCCGCGTGCCTCTCAAGGTGTCAACGGGATTTGAGGCATTCCGTCAAAATGAGGCAGGGACCTAGGGCTTTCTCTAAGGTCTACACAGGGGATTCAGACATCCCTTTCTACTGTGAGATGAAGGACGAGCCTGTATTCAAGCCACTGCAAGGAAATCCGGCCTCCTTTCAAGTAAGGGCTTCTCGTTGTATATTCCACTTGAGGCAGCAAACTCGGGTCTATGCCACATACCGATTGCTGAGAGAAGCCTCCTCTTGAGGTGCTTCTGGAAAGTTGGCATACGTCTTGAGCCTAAGCCAGTGAATCAGCTCTCATCTCGAGACGATTTGGGGTACATGGAGCATTCCACGAGTTGCTGTCCTGAAGTTGGTGTTCCTCTAGACTTGGGACAGTGTTCTCGGGGCATCTCTAGAGTTGCCTGAAGGAAGTCAAGCCACTGGTGATGTTGAATGGGGAACGGTGGATGGCTCTGGAGTCAATGCAGGGGAATCGGGTCTCATCTTGAGTTGACTTGGGGCACATGGAGCTGCTCTGCGTTGCGGAGGTGACCTCAGGGTCCGTCTATAATAGTGACAGTGTTCTTGAGGACTGTCTCGAGATCCATTAAGCAAGTCGAAGCTCCTGACTTGTTTGATGGGGATCACGGAATATCTCTGAATGCACTGCAGGGGAATGGGGCCTCATCTCGCCTCTAGGGGGAAGTCTCATGGCTTTTCTCGAGTTGCGGCTGGGTCCTGGGGTATGTTCTTGATTTACGGCGGGGATGGCCCTTCAAAACACGTGTTTATTCAGTGACGTCAGGACTCCTGTCTGCTAATGAGGGACACCTCAGGAATCTCTTCGAGGCTTCGCAGGGCAAAAGGGTCACTTCTCGAGGTGAGGCAGGGCACTCAAGGACCCTTTCCAGGAGCCACAGGGATTTTGGGATTCCTATCAGTATTCAAGAGGAGTCAGGCAACATCACCTTTTGAAGCATTGAACTCCGCGTGCCTCTCGAGGTGTCAACAGGATGTGAGGCATTCCGTCAAAAGGAAGCAGGGACCTAGGGCTTTCTCTAAGGTCTCCACAGGAGATTCAGCAATCCCTTCCTGTTGTGAGATGAAAGACGAGCCTGTATTCAAGCCACTGCGAGGATATCCGGCCTCCTTTCAAGTTAGGGCTTCTCGCTTTATATTCCAATTGAGGGAGCAAACTCGGGGTCCCTCCTACATACCTATTGCTGAGAGAAGCCTCCTCTTGAGGTGCTTCTGGAAAGTTGGCATACATCTTGAGCCTAAGCCAAGGAATCAGCTCTCATCTCGAGACGATTTGGGGTACACGGAGCATTCCTCAAGTTGCTGTCCTGAAGTTGGTGTTCCTCTAGACTT